TACAGAATTTCGCCACATGTCCAGTTTCGCTAAGGAAACCAAGAATAAGGAAACCAAGAACCAAGAATAAGGAAACCAAGAATGCCAACAGCCGATGACAAACGAGTGAGAGACACCGAGGCGTGTTTTTAGGATCGACTGTGCCGGTAGAGTGGGATGTTGTAGTCATAACGTTGGAACCAGGCCGAGGAAGCGCTAGCGTTCCACGTGTAGAATATGACTCGTTTACTTCAACGTGTAGTCCACAAAAGTCTCAGTTTCTGACTTTCACCGCGCGGTACATGGCGGACAACTTGCAAGTTACGTACATTAATTTTATAACTAGTGGTGGTTAATGATAACCACAATCATCATTTATTTAAGTATCAGACGCGCTGCAAGAGTTGTTGGTTTTCATCTTCCTGATACATCGGCCAAACCGAATTACAGGATTTTATGGACTTAACTGTTCGTATTGCTGGCACACCGGGATTTTAGAGACAATATAGTAGTATGCTTATATAGTATTGTAGCGATAGTATTTGTACGAACGATAAGACCGCCCAGTTATGATTCATTCCATCGCGTTATGAATTTGTGTCCCCGTTACCGGCTAGTTTCCTTTCTCATGAATTTCTAGAATTCAGTCTTGTGCTCAGCTTGCTACAGCTTGCATCTACTTGATTGTTCCTCTTGCTGAAACCCTTGCTAACAACCTTGCTCCGTTTCTTGAACGCCTTGTCATTAAACATGCCTTGAGTTACGTTGTTGTGTTTGACCGCTTGGGATGAACCTGTGTCATCCCAGTCGGAGCCACCTGTGTAATTGCGTTACATCTGTAAGAGCGTCCTCGGCCAGCATCGTTGCCGGCCGTGCCACCTTTCACACCAACAGCCGTTTAATCGTGGTAAAGGCTGATCGCCACCCCACTAGAACAGTAGCCAGATAGGCCACTGTTACATGGCGCTCCTGTAAAGAACCATTCCACCTGGACGCCTGCATATACCAGCAATTTCCATAATATCACCACTTCCCACACCAACCAGCGGAAGTCCCGGAACGGATCGCCGTTTCGTGAGTGTTTACTGTGTCCGTTGATGCAGTGAGATTTGTTTTTTTCGGTCTTGATACATTAATAACATCAAAGTTTTATATTAATTTTCCGAACGCTAAATTAGTTAATATCACTGTTCCTGTTACGATGCCATTTTATCAGAAAATCTTAAAACTGCGAATATAGAAAAATAATTTTTGCTGCATTATTTGTTCGCCGTTCGCCGCTTTGGCTAACCGTTATATTACCGTTGTCACCCGGCGCCGCTGTGCCGCCGTGGTCTGGTTCGCGCCAAAACTTCCTGGTCTGCACCCTGCAGTACACAAGAGACTGCCTGAGCTCAGAGAAAACATTACTGGTCTCGGTCCAACAGTTCAGTGGAATCTCAGCAGATTTATTAACATAGCCGTCTATATTATAACACTGTAAAGATAAGCTTGCCAGCGCGTCTTCCCTGCCGAAATTAATCATATACAGCCCAAGAACAACGTCTGCTGTCCAGCCTGTATTCCTTCCCCAACCGGCCTGCAAAATTACAGATACTAACGCCCAGTTAAAGAGAGCTGCAGAACAGAACATGATGCTTGGGAATACACAGCGAAGAGGTGCGGCCACTGAGCGTACGCACCAAACTGGACGCGCATTCAGTCCCAATTCAACCTCCGACAATGCACAACATTATCGCAACCATCGCCACAAATATTACTGTGATTCCAGCGATTCAGATAACCGCCAGTCATCCAGCCCGCGCCGCAATGACTTACGCAGTGAACATTACAGAGAGCACCGGTCGCCCAGTGCAGACCGTGACCGTGCACGTACAGAACGGTATCGTTCACAACACCGTCCCTACTCGCGTGAAAGTACTTACAGTAATGAAAAGGAGAGTTCACATTACCGGGAAATTCGCAATCACTCGTCCGAGAGCGATCGGACATATTACCGTGAGCCGTACCGCAGTTACACGCCCGATAGTGCGCGCAGCACTGAACCTTATTCTTTGCGATATCGCTGTAATTTGCGTAAGTGTGACCACACGAAATATTACAATCGCAAAACTTTCGACGTAAATAAAAAGGTACATCCGAAATACATAGATTTCGACAGTTACAGATTGAATAACGGAAAATTATTTTGCCCGAAATGTTATGATTTTTTCCATTCGTATGGCGAATGTAAGAATTTTAGCTGCGATGACAAGCATACTATAACGCGTATTTGCCCTGACGATATTAAGGCCAACGTTCAAAAAACAATACGATGGGTTTGTAGAACAGATGGTATGGCGGAAGGGAAATTCCTTCTGGAACAGTCAACAAGGAAAAAGGTTGAACGAGTATAAAAAGGAGGTCCTTATGGACATGAGTATATCCTCTCGTATTTTACACTATCACTGAAAGTACATTTTACGCTGATCGTGTGAATGCTTCCGCAGCACGATGTTCACGAATATTAACGGAACAACGCCAAAATCTGGGTACAGCTAAATTGTTTCAGCCTCATACGCCTTACATTAACAACTGTGTCAACGATGTTACGACTTCAACTGTGCCAAATTGCTCGATTGATTCCGAAACGAATATTACACCGCAAACAAAAGCCAGAATGCAGTTATTGGAAAAATTATCGCATATTAATGCGGACAGTACGAGTACATTATGTGCCCCCACACAGTGCAGACAGGACAATGAAACAACCGCACAATCCTCACAGACGCTTGCTTCAGTGGCTGTACGTCACACAGATCCAGAGATTCCGAGTACATTATCGCCCAGACCGGCTAAACGCGAACTTACAGTCGATGGTCTTAATTCTACACTGGAGTATATTAGCAATTCTCCATTCTATCAGATGATGTTTAGCAACCCGCACAGGCTAAACATACCCACAGCTACATTAAATTTTGCCGATACACCCAAACCCTCCCACGCCGCCGGAAGAACGCGGAAAATTTCCGGACCGTGAGGGACCCCTTCCCAATCCCGGACATTCTCAGCGGAACCTGACTGTAGGATCGTTCCGATCGCCGGATGGACTCGTGGTAGTTCAACGAGGGACCACCACGCCGTACGTTAAGGATCATCCCGGACCATTGTGTTCTATTGTTTACTAATTCCTAACGCTTTGTTTTCCTGTTTTCCTACGTCTTTTCGTTTTGTTGTCTTGATGAGACATATCTCATCGCTACCGTGAGGATGTAGCGATAGTATTTGTACGAACGATAAGACCGCCCAGTCATGATTCATTCCATCGCGTTATGAATTTGTGTCCCCGTTACCGGCTAGTTTCCTTTCTCATGAATTTCTAGAATTCAGTCTTGTGCTCAGCTTGCTACAGCTTGCATCTACTTGATTGTTCCTCTTGCTGGAACCCTTGCTAACAACCTTGCTCCGTTTCTTGAACGCCTTGTCATTAAACATGCCTTGAGTTACGTTGTTGTGTTTGACCGCTTGGGATGAACCTGTGTCATCCCAATCGGAGCCACCTGTGTAATTGCGTTACATCTGTAAGAGCGTCCTCGGCCAGCATCGTTGCCGGCCGTGCCACCTTTCACACCAACAGCCGTTTAATCGTGGTAAAGGCTGATCGCCACCCCACTAGAACAGTAGCCAGATAGGCCACTGTTACAGTATTTTTGTATACGAGTATTTATGTACTGCTGTACGCAGATCGCTAACGTACTTACTGCAGAAATTATCCTCGTTTTCTGATGATTCCAAATGCATGGTACATATGTGCGATGCTTGTAGTTAATACGGATTCTTGATATTGTTGATCATTTGTTGCACGCACTATGATATTGTTGATCACAGTATCAAATAAAAATGCTACGTTATCTGTTTCCGTGGAAGCGCCGTGTCTGTTATCAAAATACATGGAACCTCCGCCATTCTGTCCCGGTTTTCCCATCAGTTCATCGCCACACACTTGGTCCCCACCGAGCATACGTTATTGTGGTTACGGAAAGACTGTAACCAGAGGAATGGGTACCTATTACCTGTGGATGGACGCTGGGCTGGGAGTCCGGCCCGGGATTTGCAGTATATTACATTATATGCCGATCCACATAATAATGTTCGTAAGTAAATACCTCTACAGTCTACAGACGGGCTCTACTCATAATTATTCTCGATGCGGGCGTTAATTATCCATTTGTCGCAAAATGCATTAAATATTTTTATCAACAATAGTATTATTTTTATTAATAAATGTTTGCTAAACGAATTTTGGTGCTTAATAATTGACAAACACAACGGATTTCAATATATTCAATTAAAATATTGGAATGTCTGACAAATTAAAAATAACATAAACATTAGACAGTGATTATTAATATGATCATTAATATGGTAACAGATTCATATCTATGTATTAAAATTTTTTCAATTTATAAGGTTTTTTCCAAGCAAAATACCATTCAAAAATTACGCAGATTGTACCTAATACCTATCATGCTATTAATTACACGATGTACAGCACGCGCATATACGAGGTATATGCAGGAGTGTGCAATGCAGCTGTGGGTTTCCACAATTAATGATGAACTTACTGTATATTGTACATACATACTTGCATATTATTGGAATTGCTTGCTGTACATGTAGCTTTATTAATTGCAAACTTTCTACTTTAATGGTAATAATTATCTCCAAAAATACGGTACAATTACGTTTCTCTGTGTTTACTGTGAACTTTGTCCGGCACTTTTTCCTAGACTGTCAACTAATCAGCACGTTTACGAATTTCGGTTAAGTACGTTTTCCAAAATAGCTTGCTATAAAATCGTTAGATATTTATAAATTATTACATTTTACTTTAATTTAAGAAGGTGGTAGTGCTCGTATTAATAATCACTTTATACATATGTAAAGCGTACAGCATGCTGTATTATTATTTATTATTATTATTATTATCGAACCAACAGTAGCCAAACTCCACATGGAGACTTTTAAGGCTGTATGCGGTTACAGTTTTAATTGCACACTTTTCTTATTTTTTCTTAGGTTTTCTTTCCATTTTCTTATTTTTATTCTTGTTTTCTTATTTTTTACATGCACAAACGACCTGCCTGCATTAGCATAGGCATCCAAAAATGCGACATTTTCAAGGAAATGGCAAGCAGCGATCTGGCCAGGCACCGCATTCGAAACTCGAAAAGCGAAGAATTCTTCCTGGCGTCACGCCAAACAACTGGGTCACGGCGCGCGCGAAGACGACGCTGGCTGATTTTACAGTGCAACGTTATTGCGCCAGACAACCTGCCAGACATTCGAGCGCTCCTTCCAAGGCAATTAAAAGTAAAATTAATCTCGTAATGGCATACAAGGCGCTGGCGATTTTTTAATTTACTAATAAATATTAAATTTACTAATAAAAAATCAGATACCGTACATCCAAACCGACTAATACTGCAAAATCGTTAAATTTTGTACAAAGCTATTGGCTAATATCGGGTACACAATAGGTAATTAATTTATTTATCAGCCCACTAATTTTATTTAAATTGTTTACAGAATTATACATTTTGTGGTCGTTTTCCACACGCGATAAAGGTCACAAGCGTTATGTTTTCCTAATTATGTACGTCGAATTTCTTAATTTTGCTGCTTAATTATGCCTTTACTTTCCCCGGAGAAGTGAAATTTTAAAAAATAATTCCCCGGTAAACAATTAGTCCGGTGGCACATTGGGTAGTTGTACGTACAACACCGGTTCCAGTTTAAAACGGGGCATCGGATGACCTGATAGGTGGGACGGAAGCACCGGGGCGGTGCGAGGTCGTACACCATCGTACGTTGGGCATTGTTAATTCCGGCGCAGGAATGCGCCCGTCGGTGCAACGTTGACTTTCAATGCGCTGGTGGAAGACGCGACCGGTCGACGGCGAAAATCGCTACGATAACGTCATTCGTGTAGTTGTCGACTTGCTGAATTCCCCGCACATTTTATGCCACATTTTACTTTTCCGATAATTTGTCTTTGTCGTTATTTAATTAGCTATTTCGAAAACTACGCTTGAAGTTAAACTTCAGACATTGGTAAAAGGTAAAGGATGAAACAGTGAAGCAGCTTGATACTGTATTGCGTAATCTAAGCGTGACCGTGAAAATCCCGCATCACAATTGGTTTTTCTTGCAGGTTGTCGGAGAACCGCCGAGGAACCGTCGTTCTCGTTTGCAATTTCGGATTCCCGGTATTTTTATTCCATCGGTAAGTGGATGCTGATCCTGTCGAGACAGATGGTCAATTAGAAATTAATTAAAAAGGAAATTTTCAGACTTTGTCTAGTTTTCCCTATAGAATAGTATATCGGCAGACGATGTTTTATTTGGCTGAAATTTTGTGATACTGGTCTGGTATTCTGGATCGTTTACGCTTTTTTGTGCAAATGTTTATTAACGTATAAAAAATAAAACTGTCTTTCTTTGAGAAACTACATCGCAGTTCGTCGATTCTGATAGGAATCGTTCGCGTTATCGTTCAGTTGATTTTCCCGTAAAATTTGCGCGGGACAGTTAAGCGCATGTGCCTGAAAACCTGTACTGGCTGCTAATTCTGTTAGGATTAGCGCTAACTCTGTTCTAAGACATCCGCGTAATTTGAGAAAGTACAGGGAAGCTAATGTGTCCTCCTAATTTTATTCCGACCTCGCATTTCAGTCGCGCTCGTTCACTTTGGGTTCTCGTTAACGTCTCACCTTGCATCGCTAATTTTTAACAACTAATCACGCGCGTCGAATATCGGGAAAAATTTTTTACAAGCGCGGAATAAGTTCGAATAAGGTACAAGTTGCTTCAATACCAAAATTAATTGTCAGCTAATCATTTTCTTGCGTTTTGCAGTGGTCCGCCGTTGGCTCCTCAAGGTCCTCAGGATACTTGGAGCGCGTGCTGTTCTGACGTCATCGTGCAAGCGGATTCCCTTCACCTTCTAACTACACTACGATAATTAAAGGTTTTCAGTCCGCAATAATACTTGATTTTGCCATCACTTCATCAATTTAGCCAGTACTGTACTGTAGCGATGGCAGGGTGAGCCCAAGGGAAGCGCGTAATGTTTAGACTTTGCTTTTGATTTAACGTTTTCTGAGTTTTTCCCCGTTAACAGCTGAAATGATACAATAAAATCAGTAGTCAGATATTGACGCAGGGATGCAGCACTATAGTGTTCACAGTGCGCGTCAATCTTGAGAACGAACTTACGCCGTTGCTGTACCATTGATTTAGAATCTACGATAGGCGAGTAGGCGATAGTTCAGCCATTCGGAAATGATTGCAAAATACATGTACCTAGATGCCTTTATTCGCTGTTTTAGATCAAGCAGCTGTCCGTTTTTGTAGGTTTAATCGGCTCTTACGTGGTCTGAATTGGCTCCTTCCTCTGATCGATCGAAATCAAGTGTGAGTGTGAAGCGCATCATACTGTCGGTACTGTACCCATGGTCAACAGAGTTTTAGCGATAATATCTGTTTTATGAGCCGCTAGTTTTTAAATTTTTTTATCCATCGAAATTTGTTTAATTTGCTTCTTTGATATGAGCGTATTTGATGGCAGTCGTATTTTGTTGGTAATCAAAATTTGAGGGCGTTGTAAGCAGCGTGATCACTGGTTTAATACTATGGTACTTTGTATATTCGTATTGTAAGTCTGGAGATGCAGTGATCGGTGTAATGAAAAGGGACCAATTTATTAATGTGAAAGCGGCCAGTTTATTCACTGGAGTCAACGTTCTTAAATTTCAAATACGAGACCAGCTGTACATGTAATTCAAACATTTTCACTTGTACATGTAATTCAAAAACCGTCATTTAAACGATGTAACGAGCACATATTACGACAAGCGAGGAAGTTTCAGTTTCTTTTTTCTTCCATCTCTGAGATTATTTCGTGGCTATAATATGCTGTGGACCTGTGGTATAGTGGTGTGATAACTGATGGCTTCCGACTTATGGCTTCTGCACTTCGTAATTTTGTTATCATCTTGCGGCAATGCATAACGCAAGAAACATACCCATACGTTTTGCTTAGTTAGGTATCTGTTTTTGTACGTAGAGAAAGATCTTCAATGACGCTACCGCTTGTTTATACGCTTAGGTGAGGATCAAAGATGGCCGGTCGCATTGACAACGCCTGTCAGACGGAGGCAGTGCAGCCGGAAACAGAAGAAATGGTAAGGCGCCGGTGTCACGTTGCCTTTACTTTTCAAATGGGGTTAAATACGCAGAGTTAACCAGAATTCGCTCAATTTGCCAGGTGGTGGACGAGCCGACGCTGATCCAGCACTTCTTCCAGCTGGAAGTCGAGCTGCCGAAGGCCACCAAGGCCCTGGACGGCTCTCGAGGAAAGCTCACGGCGCTGAACGGGATGCAGCCGGAGGAGGCCGCGGCGGAAATGGATCGCGTTCGCTGGGCGCTGAAGCAGCAACGGGCTCAGCTGGAGGTCCTGCACCAGGAGGCGGGCATCACCCGTTACTGTTTCTACAAGGAGTTCGCGGAGGCCAAGGAGCGCAACACGGAGCACTACAAGTGGGCGTCTGAACGCATGGAGGCCATTGAGAAGGTGCTGGAGGAGGCAGTCGGCACCCTGAAGGGCAACGAGCAGCACTTCCAGGCGTTGGGAGAGGCGCTGGCGGCGTTCGAGACCCGCATGGGCGTCTTCGGGAACCGGATGGGCCTGGTGGAGAACCGGATGGGGGCCCTGGAGACCCGCATGGGCCAGGTGGAGGCCCAGATGGGCCAGGTCATCGTCCAGAACAACCAGGTGATTGCTCAGAACAACCAGATTCTGAAGTTGCTGCAGAACATGGCCGCCGTGCAAGCCCGCCGATTCGACTTCACGCTGGCCTCCTTGGGTCACCTCGGCATGGCATACAACGATATGCAGTACTACAAGCAGCTCCACGGCGTTAACTGAAGTAGACCGGCATGGCGGACAAAGGGCATTTTTGAATTGGCGTGTGGTAATTGTTTTACTCTTTATTTTTTTACTTTCTTACCACGATTGCCCTGTCTTTTTTGCGCCAGATGAGCTGTCTTTTTTGCAGTTACTTTTCGAAACTGTATTTGTTGACATTTACACTGTTTTTTTTTGTGTTGTTTTTTTGTACGATTACCGGCATATCTTTTCCATTGTTATTGTTTCCTGGTCGGCTTCACCTCCTTGCGTTGCTTCGAGAATGCTTGACGATTTTGACGACACACCCACGTTTTCTGCATTAACGGTTTGTAACGTCCCGTTGGTAGCTTCACTACGAAGCCGATTTGTACCGCGCACTGATGCGCTGATGTACGACTAATAAAACGAAGCAGTACGATATTATCTGGAGCTTGTTATATAAAAATATGAAAATCAATTCTACACGTCGGCGTCCTTATTGTATATGCATTTAATTCCTGCCTCCTTCACGCTGCGAGGCAAATCTTAAATCAGTCGGTGCTGCTAACAGATTTACGAAGATATTCTTTTTAATTAAGTGAACAGAAAATATAAAGAAATTATAAAATCAAGGTTCAAAAATGTGTGTTGCGACACTTAAAGCAACTCGCGGGCAACTCCTGCATAAACGTCAGCAATTCAACTGAAAGATTCGCTCGAATTAACATTTAACACGAGCAAATTACTAATATAAAGTGCACCTACTTGAATTGGTGCATTAATAGCAAAGAAAGCCACAATAATAATTTTCCACGCTGTCCGACCGGCTTTTCTTTGACCCCGACCGGCTAGTCGGTCGGGGACGGATGAGAGTGATCATGCCGCGGATAACCGGGTGCCGAGTCGGGCCGACGGATATTGTACGACGGAAGATGACGCGACGCGATGTGGAGAGGATGCCGGATTGCCGTCCTTGCCGAAGATTCCTACCGTGCCGTTTGCCGATCTCGAAGATGCCAAGCGACAGCGCCGCGACGTGTAAGTCCTTAAATGCTGCTTACTGTCTTGAAAATATTCGAAACTTTTGTGCAAAATTTTTCAAGATTTCCTAACTTTTAGTGAGCAATTTAGTAAATAATTTTTAATATAGTGAGTAATTTTGGTGAATAATTTTTATGCTAATTGCGTAATAATTTGCCGGGGTTTTTCTTATATCTGCTGCTTAAGCTTCCAAAACCTGGAGAAAACGTGTTAATTTTCGAGTAATTCAACGAAGCTGCATGTGTAGAAAACTTCCCAATCAGTTCCGCGTTTTCACTTATTGTCCAATAATTTACCGCGGTTTTTTCATGGCTGAAAAGATCGTAATCACAATTTCGGAAGTTGTTTTGTAAATACTTCGTTTTCGGGACCGTTACAGCAACAGCCACATGAACACGCACGCATTTTAAGAGGGAAACTGTAGAGTTGTGGCTGCATGTTACGATGGTAATGCCATTTGCTGTTGCATGTGCAAGCGGAATATGCATAAATGCACAGTAAATTAATCGTAATTTTTTTCTGCATTGCAGATCCGTGTCCACATCGGCGGTGGCCGCCCGCGAGCTCCGTCGGAAGAAGAAGCAGCGCGAAGAGACTCTCATCACCGAGTGCATGGACCTGAAAGCGGAAGCGGAGACGATGGAGCGCGACATGCGGGAGGCGCGCGCCCAACTGGACCGCCTGCGGGAGGACGCGGCCTACCTGCGCAGTCTGGTCAAGTCGCAGCAGTCCGTGGTGGATTTGCTGCAGTACCTGCAGAACGCCCCCTTCTTCAACAAGGACGGCCGCGCCGAGCAGGGCCTGCGTCTGGACGGGCGCAGTATCCTGCGGCAGATCAGCGGCAGCGCCCAGGACGAGAAGACGGCCAAGAAGGAGCAGGCCAAGGAGATCGGCGGGATTTGTCTGTACATCAACGGCTCCAGTATCACCCTGCATTTATGCTCGCACTGCAGCATGGTGAAGCCGGCTCGAAATAATCCGCTGTGATGATGTGGAGCGCATCGGCGTGAGGATATGAGTTTGTGAATTTATGTAAGTACAGGTGAAAAGGTCAGCAAATGCTGCTCGTACTCTGTAGTTACTCAACATCAAGTACAAACTCCAGCTCGACGAAAAGATAATCCAGACCGGCATGTTCGATCATAAGTCAACGCTCAACACCACAGGTTTACGTACACAGATAAGCCGGCACGTTTTTTGACTCTTGCTCCAACTGATAAGAAAACCAAGAATGCCAACAGCCGGTGACTAACGCGTACTGTAACTGGTAACAGACAGCGAGGCGTGTTTTTGGACCGACTGTGCCGGTTATGCGGGACGTTGTTGTCATAATATTAAACTTGGGTGAACCAGGTCGGGGAAGCGCGAGCGCTCGATGTTTCGTATACGACTCGTTTACTGCAACATCTAGTCTCAATTTCGGTCTCCCACCGCGCGGTATATGGTTACTGGCGGGCAATGCATATTTACACGGATTTACAATTTTTGCGGATATTATTACTAGTACTTGTGATTTAATTACCAGCCGACTAATTTTTGTTAAAATTACAGAATTACAAAATTATACGTTTTGTACTCGTATTCGATTTTATTACGCGATAAGAGGTCACCATCGCTATGTCTGCCATTTTTTGTATGCCAATTTCCATAATTTTGCTGCTTGATTGGTATGTGTGTTTACCAGCTTTCTCCGGAAAAACGCAGGTTTAATAAATAATTCTCCGATAAAATTATGATCCTCCCGGTGGCGCATTGCGCAGTTGTACGTACAACGCCGGTTCGAGTTTACAACGGGGCAACCGGTGTCCTGATAGGCCGAACGGAAACACCGGGGCGGTGCGAGGTCGTACATCGTCGTACGTTGGGCATTGTTAGATCCGGCGCAGGAATGCGCCCGTCGGTGCAACGTTGCTTTTCAGTTTTCAATGCGCTGGTGGAAGACGCAAAGTGTCACTGTGACGGCGAAAAGTCGCAACGATTAGCTTCATTTGCGACGATTAGCTTCATTTGCGTAATCGTTGACTTGCTGAAATCCTCGCAATTTTTTATACCGCGATTTTACATTATGCGACAATTTGTCGTTCGCGTTAATTACCTACGCTTGAAGTCTAATACATTGGTAAAAGGTAAAGGATGAAACAGCCAAGTAAACTTAATATTACGAAATCTAAGCATGACTATGAAAAATCCCGCATCATAATCGGTTTTTCTTGCACAGTATCGGAAAACCGCCGGGGAACCGTCGATCCCGTTTGTAATTTCGGATCCCCGGTTATTCGTACTTCTTCGGTCAGCGAATACTAATCCAGACGAGGTACACGGTTAATTAGAAATTATTTAAAAAGGAATTTCTTGACCGTTTTGCCGAGAGTATTGGCAGTTGATGTTTTATTTGGCAGAAATTTTTGTGATTACTGCTTAATTTACTGGTATACTACATACATTTCTTTCTGGCTTGTATACGCTTTACTTGCGAAAAAATCTTCATCAACGTATGAAACTGTTCCTGGTATAGAAGTATATATTTACTTTAAAAATTAAATCGCACTGCGGTTCGTCTCAACTTCCCACAAAATTTGCGCGGAAACAGTTAGAGTTAGGAGCATGTGCGCGAGAACCTGTTGCGTAGTATGCGTAGCGGACGAAGGCCAACGTTTATCCAGCATGGCGGCCTTCGTCAGGTCCACCTCCAGCTGCAGCAGCGGCAGCTGGAGGTGGACCTGCCGAAGGCAGCGAGTGCCGCTGACGCTTCGAAAAACAAGTCGGAGGAGCTATCGAAGATGGAGCCGGCCCAGGCCGCACCGGCTGTGGACGACGTGCAATGGTAACTGAAGACGCAACGTGCGCGGCTGGAAGTGCTGCATCAACAAGCGGCTAGCAAACTCCTTATAAAAGCAGTGGCGCGCTCTAGCGCGCCATTGCTTTTACAAGGCGTTTCGCGAGACGAATGAGTTCCCGCAGGACTACAACAAGGCGTACTGCCAGCTGTGGAAGCGCCTGGGGAAGATCGAGAAGGTCCTGGAAGAAACGGTGCGCCAGCGCCTGGAAGTGCGCCTCGTTCTCCTCCATGGCGTGCTGAAAGGGAAAGAGGCGCCCCTCCAGGTGCTGGCGGAATGGATGACCACCATCAGTACTCAGATGGGTGTGATGGAGCTCCATCACCCATCCGCATCTCCAAGTTGGTCATCTGCGTCTCGAGACGCAGATGACCAACTTGGAGAAGCGGATGGGTATCGTGGAGACGCAACTGTGTCAGATCATCACGTTTATGCAGACGCAGCATGGCCAGATAATGCACTGGATGCAGAACTTCTGCGACGAGCAGGTCTGTAAATTCCACTTTCTGTTGGGATGCTTGTGCCACCTCGGCTTAACATACCACGAAGCCAATTTGTATTCGCACAGATCCGGGGAAGTACCATTTATTAAAACGGAGCAGTACGATACCTGCCGCTTGTTATATAAAAATATATGAAATTGATTTTATACATCGGTGCATTTATTATTATTAACATCCATTTATTTCCTACTTCCTTCACGCTGTAAATCAAATCCTAAATCAGTCAGCGCGGCTAACATATCTCCAAACGACATTCTGTACATTTGTAGCTACTTTTTCTTTGTGGTACCTTTTCAGGCTTATGACTTTTCATAATTTTAGTAAGTCTCGTATCACATACAAGTAACTGCAGTCTTTAAGGCACAAGTGAATTCTACCCTAGTGATTCCATCGTGCTGTGGAGTGTGGACTGTGGCAGTCTCCCGGCTGAGCGTCTACCACGGAGCCGTGACGGCCCGGCTTGTCGACCAGACCGCCACAAACGAACGACGATAGGTGCTCCCAGACGAAACGCAACACTTTTAACGCCATCACCTCACTAAAGCTGTAAACACTGTAAATTTAAAGACTGTTGCTTATATATTACAGAATGACATAATAGTGAAACTTGACAAAATAGAGGGATCTGTTTTGAGCGTATGCTCCGCCCACCGAATCGAGATGGCTGAGACAATCTTATTTTTACATGCGCCAAAGGTGTTTTCGGGCTCTCTTTTGTTTCTTCGGCTTGGACGTCTTGGTGCAACCCGAGTTGTGTACTAGTTAAAGCTTGCTCTATTTATAAAGTATTTTTGTGTTTTTATACAATGAGGCGCACAGTAGTTATTCCTTGTTTAATTATCAACCTTACGGGGCGGACGGGTAATCCGACTCCAAGCCTTGATTTGAACTGAATTGAACTGCACAGTTTCTGAAGTGTTGATTGGTTAAAATGACTCAATCAAATGAGTGTGGGCTACGCCAGATCAATCTATTCATCTGTATAACTGTTTCCTTGATTACAGTACTTAATACATTAGGCCATGATCATGACCTTTTGATTTCCAGTTTATAGCTCTCTGCATACTCAACGTCAACGAGGCGAGTTCCCGGCCACACCAACATTCTCCAGGCCTGGAAGGTACCCGTACAGCGCAACTTATAAATATGTCCTGTGCGAGTACAATGTTCTGATTTTTATTCGGTACTTTTACTAAGAGACGAGTACTCTAGGCATCATACTGTTACGGAAACTCGCACTCGTTGCCGTACTCGTTGTGATTAGTAATTTAGTACTCATCGATTTTAAATGCTCCATACGGAAATTCCTCGTACTATGGTTTTTTTATTAATCAAAGAAAATGGTCTGTTCCCCAGCAGAACGAACTAGCGGAATGAACACACGAACAAAATAAAATTGTGGCGAAGAAATGATCTAAACTAATCGGAAACAACAGCGGCGACACAAACCTATTCAATATGAATACTCTGAACAGAGTTTTCCACGCAAATGTACAAGCGAGATTAAATAAACCCAGCCAACAAGAAATCCATCTTGAAATCCCCAAAAACACTACCAACCGGCGTCAGTAATCAAAATTCAAAAGTAAATGTTCATCCCTCCAGAAAAAACTACCTACGTAAATACACAATTATCCACACACGCTCCACATCACACTTGACTACTTCGAGCCGGCCTCACTGCTGCAGTGCGAGCATAAATGCATGGTGATACTGGAGCCGTTGATGTACAGACAAATCCCGCCGATCTCCTTGGCCTGCTCCTTCTTGGCCGTCTTCTCGTCCTGGGCGCTGCCGCTGATCTGCCGCAGGATACTGCGCTCGTCCAGATGCAGGCCCGGCTCCGGGCGGCCGTCCTTGTTGAAGAAGGGGGCGTTCTGCAGGTACTGCAGCAGATCCACCACGGACTGCTGCGACTTGATCAGACTGCGCAGGTACGCCGTGTCCTCCCGCAGGCGGTCCAGCTGGGCGCGCGCCTCCCGCATGTCACGCCCCATCATCTCCGCTTCCGTTTTCAGGGCCACCGTCCATGCACTCGGTGATAAGCTGCTCTTCGCGTTGTTTCTATTTTAGACGGAGCTCGCGGGCGGCCACTGCCGGTGCGGACATGGATCTGGAATGCAAAAAAAATCACATTTTATTTTGTCCCTGCATAAGTCTGCAATTTTATTAAGATGGTTTCCACATTATACCTCAAACAATATCGCCGTGTACAGCCTCTACCCTACAGAATCTCTTTCCCGAACAGGGTATTCATACCTCTATGACTGAAATTTACTGCTGCTGCTGCTAAAAAGAGTGCTTACCGACAAAACAGTGCTCGCAAATCGCAATTACGGCTTCAATAACCAGACTATTAAAATTTAAAAGCAATCTACAGAAGTAACTGAAAATCTGCTCGAATTTTCAAAATCAAAAACAGAAGGTAGAAAAAAACGCGATCAATTATCTAACTTTCGTGGTGCACGCAAGTTTCGCGACATTAATATATTCACGCGTGGTTCCGAGCGCAGAAACTGAGTTTAGTCTGTATAATGTAGGATATTAACGAAATACAGAAATAAAATATGCAGTGCTTAAGTATACAGTAAATTATAGAGTTACGATAATAATATTCAGTCAAGCCACACCGTGACATTAAAGTGCATTAATGCACTTTATCCCAAAATGCACTTTATCCCACTTATCCCACAGAGGTACTGGATTTGGCATTATCTCTATGCAGCTAGCAACAATATTGTTGCTAGCTGCACAGAGATAATGCCAAATCCAGTACCTCTTTGGGATTGTTTCATCCCGCTCCTTCCACGACTTGGGCGGCATACGTCAAACGAAGTTCGGTCGAAACACTGTATACCGCCGTACCTGGCAGCGACGTCGCGGTGCTGCGCATGGGTGCCATGATATTTCGTCATGTTTCGGCAGGGTGTGTTCTTCCGGTGCAGACCCTTCAGAATTCTGTCACAGGTTTTCCTGGTGGCCAACTGGCCATCACTGTATCGATTTTCAAATTATCTGTAGCATAATTACAAATAAATATCTTCAGGTTTCGCGCCGAAATAAAGTTCGCTCATATTCTGGCTATTAAAGAAAAAACCCATATTATTTAACATACAAGTACTGGTTACTTTTTTCATATTACAGAGGGTGATTTTGCAGTTTGTTTCCAGTTTCTTTATAAATTTTTATTGCAATCATTTCCGTGCATGTTGCATTCCTGGAGCCGTTTTGTTTGAAAGCCCTTTCTAGCAGCTATCACCACAAATTAATCTTAAGAAACAAAAAACAATTTGGAATACGGTGGGATTTTTTAAACCGGCAGGGGTCAGTGCGCAGCACTGAACAAATCGCGAAGCGTTGTCCGATGTTTCCATTAAAAATTTGCTAAAAAATCGCCATCAATCCGTAATCTATGGGTGCCAGGTTAAGTGAATTCTAACGTCATATTACCTTCAGAAAATATCCTGACTTCGAGAGATTCGAGGCACTGGTAAATTTTGTGACCCTTGAGAACTGGAAGAGAGTCATCGTGACTGTTCCCCCTGCATTCCTCCCCGGGCTACAAATCCAGATTGTCTTTCTTGAAAAGCTATTTAAGCGACTTTTTTCGTAGAGACATCTACCGTGGTTCTAACACTGGGAGAGACTGAATGCACTGCATTATTATCCCGGTAATAAATGTGGAAAACAAACATAATTCGTTTTGATCTTTTAATTAATTCTGCTTTCTACACCTACGCGGGGCTACGCCTCACCGATTGCGACGATTTATGCCAAATTTCACCTATTGAGGAAAGTGGCAAGCAGAATTCCTCGTTAAAAATTTGTTAAGTACTTTGGAAACTGGGTGTCGCGCCTTAAAACCACTTTTGAGTGCACTTAGTTCGTTCGTAGAGTTCAACTGATGTTGAATTATCAAGCATTTATTGAGGTATTTTTAAGCGAAAAAAATAAAGGAAAGAACAAGGGAGAGAATTACTGTAATTTTGTGACCGTGCTGAAAGTATATTGCGAAATTACGCTCTGTACAGATACCTACATACCTATCGCTATCGGTACACTAACACGAACCACGTTCAACAACTTACAAATAACTAATCAGCGAGTTTACCGAAACCATAAATCAGTTAACTGCTAACGGTTAGTATAATGGGACTACAAGTGATTAAGCTGTTTAATTTTACACCAAAACAGGAAGTACCCACCGTTTTCGCATCATTAGGGGGATTAACATTATCTCCAAAACATAGTTTTTGTAATTTCATTTCCAATTCTGTTTTCAATAAATTCAATCGTTCTTTGTTTGTTTGCATGTATAATCTAACAAACAGCAATTCCTGGATAAATTAAAACGGAAACATCAGCTGTTTCAAACACAAAAAATAACTAAATGAAATTCCACATAGAAATTCCGCACTGTTCCACGTACGCCACTTACTGTATGCCAGGAGGCGCTTTTGAAAAGCAGTTTGTGGAATTACCAAAACAGCTGCGCATTGGGCAACCCCTGCAGGTTTGGTGTTTTTTCGATTTGTTCAAATTCATACAATCCGTGCGTACCACAGCTTAAAAAATGCAGAAAAAAAAGTTAAATTTGAAAACGAAAAGTCTATAAGCAAAAAGTTTTGAAAGAAACGTTTGATTTGCGATTTAAGAGAATTTCGTTCAGCATGGAGGTCTACGAGGCGGTTTGCCATAGACCGCTATTCCTATTACAATTACAATTTTACTAGCATATTAACGTAAGTGCAAGCGATGTAATACACCATGTACTACCGGATGTATACTATCGCATACTTATTTCTACATAATGCATTATGTAGAAACGACTGAACCTGAAAAACTCAAGAAGGTAGGAAAAAGAATACTGTAACAAAAAACGTAAGGATAAGCATAACAAAAACATAAAAGCATAAGAAATTATAAGAAAAAATAAATAAAATGAAGCCAAAACTCTGCTCGCCAAAAATTTCTAAGTCTCATACGCAATTGTGGTTGGCCACTCGAACACGACCAGTCCGCATTGCGCGCAGCGACTATTGGAAGGCACAGCAGCGTAAGATTTCCGTATGGACATAAACTAAACATATTAAAGGGAAAATCCGTCCAAAAGTACTTTGCATACGCATATGCCTATACGGTATACGGTCACTTCTACCGTATGTATTTCCCCGGCATCTACTATAAAATCCCCCCCGCGCAACGGTATCGGCAAATAAAGTGTCTGCGCAGTTCCATTTCAGCATTCTGAAATAAACGTGTGGAATATTCCGTATCACCTTTGATTTTAATTCCGATATTTTCAGTCGTGGGTTTGTGACAATTTAGGTCGGAACATCCGAAGTTTCAACATGTCGAAGAAAGAAAGCCAAACCACCGGAAATGATGGGGCTCGGCTCTTTAACCAGTTTAATCCTGAGGTACAGGCTGTACTACGCAGTACTGTGTTATGTTTTATTTATTGTCTACTGGGATGTTCATATGATGATCATCATCGTACCAAACAAAATTAGTTACATTCAAATTCAATCACACTGCAACTCACAGAAAGCTCACAAACCGCGGTTGCATTGTGTACGTAGTCAATGTCTACTTGGTAGTGGAATTTACAATCCACGATTAGTAAAGTTTGTGTAAGTAGTAACTAGTAAGTACACTGATTTTACAGTGTTCTTACGGCTTATTTTTTTGCATTTTAAAACTTACCTGAAACGACTTGATACGAATGTGCTTTTATGGATAAATGTATAAATCTAAAATTTTTTAAACTGCTAGAAATGGAAAATCAAAGGCTTAGATTTAGTTTTCAGTTTCGAATATAAGTACGATCGAGCAGTAGTGCTTAGGAGGTAGGTCTGATGTTTAGAAGTTAAAAACGTATCAATCGTAACCTTTCTTATAAAATTGTGCCCGGTGTATCTGCGTCCGCTGTTGATTGTCGTATTCGACGCCGATTTTGCTGATTTTCGTTGTATTAAAGAGCGCCGTATTACAGTAGGACATCGGATTTTGTGTTAATTAAGGCACGACAGACTACTAACGACAATTCGGCTAACTGCGTTTGAAAAGTTAAACGATTTTTAGAGTACATGATGCTGATAATTTGGTTTCGATTTTGACAGGATCATCCGCGCGACGAAGAGGGCCAGTTCGTGGAGAAAAACGATTTTAACCCTGAGGTACTGCGCAGTGGGCAGTAATATTATTTTTATTTTTTTAATGTACATGTACCATGGTGGGGAAAACCATTCTACTCGGTGTGCTGCTGCTGTCTCCCGGCTGGAGGTTTAATGTACTGTACTGTTGTATGTTGTAAAAGTCACACTCCGGGCGGGTGACGGCAGCAGTACAGGGAAACGGCCCGGGTAAATGGTTTTAACTTTTATATCCTTTCTACTATACAGTATACAGTACTATCTATATACACTCAGTACAGTCACTACAGTGTACACTGTTTACTGTGTACAGTACTTATTTTGCTGCGGTCAATTGGGTGTTATAACTTATAATATAAGTAATTATACGTACTATTGCATACTTAAAGTAAGTACGAGTATGTACACGGAAGCCGTTCTTGTAGCTTTATTATTAATACTTCCTAATTCCTATTATTGCTTTAATAAAATATCATAATTAATAATGGTTTGGTTTTATTTCGGCAGGATCATCCGCGTGGCAAAAGTGGCCAGTTCGTGAAGGATAATCAATTTGATCCCGCGGTACTGCGCAGAATTTTTATTCTATTTATACTTAACTCCTTAACTGGGGTGTTATCGTGTGTCGTATGCAAGCCGGTCTATAAAATCATATACTAAGTAGTGATAATTAGATTTCCATTTGACTGATGATAATTTCATTGCGATTTTTAATTTATGACAAGTTGATTTTGACAGGAGCATCCGCGTGACGCAGATGGCCAGTTCGTGAAGACTCATGAGACCGCGCGTGAAGAGCTGAGCGCAGCTGCCAAGTGAGTAGTATTCGGGAACCAGATAAGATTCTTTGAAACTTGAAATTAAGTTTAAAACTTTCTGGCACAGTTTATTGTTTATGCAGTAAAGAAGATCGAAGCGGTTATCTGATTTTGCGTCCATTGGATCTTGTTGTGAGTATTGTGTGTTCCGGTTGTAGGCTCTTCGCGGATACCATGCCACGCGATGATCAAGGTCGTTTCGTTGGCGAGAAGAAATAATGGAAGGAGGTGGAACGTCACCGTTCGGAGTGTGTGTAAAGAGGGTAACTGCTGTTGCGCGTGGTTGCTGACAGCTGTGCGTGATTGGAAGGTATCCCTACTTCTCTTATTAGTGCACTCAATCCAGTTTCATAGTTACTCGGGACAGAAATAATCTCGTTTTTTAACATTTCATTCCTGGATCTGAAAAATAGTTGTCTTGTTCCGTCGATTTGGTATCTCTAACCTGTGTATAAAACAACTTGAGAGAAGCTTCTTTGTAAATAGCTGTTAGCCAGTTGTTTGGTTTAGATTGTGTTTCCTACTTGTTAGCGCAACATGGATAGAAGTGATGTTACTGTTAGTACGAACGCAAGATGTTGATAAGAAATTAATTAAATTAACAAAAATTAGTACAGTACATTAACAAAAACTGCAGCAATTTCATTTTTACCATGACCTACAGGGTGTCAGGACTCAGGTGTATATGGTAAGTAAGTAGTTTCGTTGTCGTTATGATTCTGCGAGATGCTTTCAGTAGATTTATTTTCAGCGATTCTTGTAACTGTAGCCTGCAGTGTGACTTGATTTTGCGACGTAATTATGTGGTGCAGAAACGAAGAACGTTAAAGGTAATTTTATGCAAACGTTGTTCGTTAAAGACTTAACTGTCTAATCTGTACGTGGAATTCGGTACCTGTTGTCAGACTTGTTGAAGCGAACTGGTGCCGGTGATTGCACTACGATCTACATCAGCGTTTTCTAGTTTCTGCCGTTTTGTTGCACAAGATGAAAAGAAAATAAAATATACCTTTGTTTCTATCACACTTCGCAGCAGAACAAAATCCGCTCCGATTACGCGATAATCGATATACAAATTTTTCGTCCTAATTTTATTATTAACTGCGATCGGAGAAAATGATTCGCTCCTCAACAGAATCCACTAGCGGAATGGAATACACGAACAAAATAAATCTGCGGCAAAGAACTATTACAGAGCACCTGAAATGACATTAACAGCGACATAATTCAATATGATCATTCTGGACAGATTTTCCGCGTATGTACAAGCGAGAAGAAAGTACACCCAACAAAACACGAAATCCATCTTGGGAATCTCCCAAGACGCTCTAACGCAAAATACTACCAACCTGCGTCAGTAATCAAAAGTGTTAATATCAAAAGCATCATCCCTCGAGAGAAAAAAACTACCTACATAAATACACAAAATATCCACACAGCAATGCGCTCCAATCATCATCACAGCGGACTACTTCGAGCCAGCCTCACTGCTGCAGTGCGAGCATAAATGCAGGGTGATACTGGAGCCGTTAATGTGCAGACAGATGCCGCCGATCTCCTTGGCCTGCTCCTTCTTGGCCGTCTTCTCGTCCTGGGCGCTGCCGCTGATCTGCCGCAGGATACTGCGCCCGTCCAGACGCAGGCCCGGCTCCGTGTGGCCGTCCTTGTTGAAGAAGGGGGCGTTCTGCAGGTACTGCAGCAGATCCACCACGGACTGCTGCGACTTGACCAGACTGCGCAGGTAGGCCGCGTCCTCCCGCAGGCGGTCCAGTTGGGCGCGCGCCTCCCGCATGTCGCGTTCCATCGTCTCCGCTTCCGCTTTCAGGTCCATGCACTCGGTGATCAGATGCTCCTCGCGTTGTTTCTTTTTCAGACGGAGTTCGCGGGCGGCCACAGCCGGTGCGGACATGGAACTGCAATGCAGCAAAAAAAAATTAGAATTAATTTAACTGGATATTTGCGCATAGGTTATATTAAATTGGCTTGCACACACTGCTGTAGAATTAAACGATATCGCTATGAGTATGCACAGCCACTATGCTACGGAATCGTCTATACTCAACAGCGTATTCATTTCGCTGTAACTGAAAAATTTACTGCTGCTAAGTGCTAACAAGAGTACTTGTTGACAAAACACTGCTCGCGATAACACTTTCAATAAGCACATTAATAAAAACACTCAATAAAAGTAAACAGAAAATATTCCCAAATTTTGCAAAACAGAAACAGATGGCAAAGATAACCGCAATCAATTATTGTGCAATATAAGTGAAAATCGTAGCTTTGATTGGGGAATTTCCTACAAAGTTTTGTCGAATTATTTAAAAGTCAAGAAAAATTTTCCTGTAGTTCAGGGAAACTGAAACAGTCAACATGACCAAAATCGCAGCAAATTATTACATAATAAAAACACAGAATGACTAAAAGTTATTCCAAAAAGATTAAAAATCATAAAAACTACATATAAAACAGTGTTTTCAAATATGTTATCGACAGTAACTGTGTAGTGTGTACTTACACGTCACGGCGCTGTCGCTTGGCATTCTCGGCAAAGGGCACAGTAGGAATCTTCGGCAAGGACGGCAATCCCGCATCCCCAGCACCCCCGTGCTCCGCGGCGGCCAGCATCCCCTCCACATCGCGTCGCGACATCTTCCGTCGTCCATCCGTGGACACCCGCCCATCCGCAGCGTGATTACTCCCATCCGTCCCCGACCCGTCCGTCCCATCCGTGTAGTCCGTCAGATTACTACTCACACTATCCCCGTCATCATCCGAATGGCGTTTATGGCGTTCCACCAGCGGCCGACTAGGACTGAAGGACTTACTCTTCACCGCCGCCTTCTTGGACCCTGCTAAAACATTCACCCCGCGTTTACTCATTGCCCTACCACGAGAATGCGCAACACGCTCGCTCCCAGTGCCAAGTATCAAACCTTTCTCCGCTGTGCGATTACGAGTGATCTTCTCGTCAGGGGTGACGGATTTCCGCTCGTCAAACCCATCGGGGAAGGCCGGGAAGGTGGGGATCTCCGTCTCCTGTTTGACTTTGGTCAGACTCCGTTGGCCGTACTCCACCTCCGGCCGGGGGGAGCCCAGGTGCCCGGTGGCCATGAGGTAGGGCGGGAGGTCGGTGGTGCCGACGTCATCCTGCCCGACGGCATCGGCCAACGCCTCGGGACTGCCCAGGCCCAGGGAGTCGGGCCAGCTGGTGGTGCGCGCGTACTCCACGATGAAGGGATCGTCGTCGGGCAGAGTTAACCAGTCTAACGCTGTACAAGACGCCGCATGAGTCTCAGTGTCTGGGGGGAGGTCCCCGGAGGTACACTGGGCACCCGTGTGCAGCTCGGACAGGTAGCCCAGCACTTTGTACTCCTGATAGGCCTCCCATAATAACATCTCATTACCATTTATCCCGAGATCCAGGGGGGTGAGGTCTTCCTCTTTGATGTGGACACCGGCCGTCAGAGGGTTCTGATCAGGGACATTCATGCTTGTGTCAGTCACGTAGGGGGTTTTGTTTCCTGAAAGTGTGTCTGTTAACTCACCTCCCAGGAAAGGAGTGGGTCGTGGGCGACCCCGGCGAGTGGCGCGGGCACGGTGGCGGAGGTCGCGCGATTACTCACTTTTAACTGCGTTTTAACCACCTGAATTAAAAACAATTATCCGCACACACAACTCCAGTGATCTCAAACCTCGAAATCTCTTAAAAATCAAAAAAGGGAAAAATCGATCCGAAATGAAAACACGTTACAACGCGTCGAATACGTACAGGTTGATGAACACTAGCAACAGAATAGACTTCTTCAGATGGTAAGTTGTAAGTATAGTCAGAAACAAGAAAACTAGGCTTTTCACAATCGTATAGTTTTTTAAAAGTCAAAGATAAAAAACAAACAATTTCTGATTATTTTCTAAATCATGAAATATGAAATTTCCAGAGCGTGGTTGCAGTGCCTACCAGCTGCAGCGTACACGGCTTCGGGGAAATCCAGATCAGTCTGCGAACTCACAACGTGGGCGATGAGTCACGACGCCCGATATTATTATTAAAGCCAGCCAATGGTAGAAAGCGGACCGCCTGTAAGGGGTGGAGCTTTCTCCCAGCCGCTCGATGATTGTGAAATATCGCGCCCGTTTTAAATCCAGCATCATCCTGTCGATGATCTGGATTTCCCACGGAAATGATTGCCTTACTTCTTTGATTTTTCTTACATAAGGAATTAAAGGGATGATGTAAACACCATTAAATACCTGAGTTGCTGAGTACTTGCCTCTTTGTTGCACAATTCGCATGCACGTTGACTGAAAAGAGATGGCTTGGATTTTTACGCCATCCAACACGCGTTTTGCACGAAAATCCTTTAGCAATGCTTAAATCCCGTTAAGCATACTTAAGCATAAATTATCGGATAAGCGAGGTGTTAAAAAAGCAAACTACAGGATTAACTGAACAATACCTCGTATTGTGACGTATATAAATTTACGAGATATAACAGGACAAATTTAAAACAGGATCGGAAAAGGCATTGCTGACATTTGCTGTCGTCGTTTTCACCGCCCCGAGACACTGTGGTGTCTCACTACCTTACCGCCCACGTCGTCGGTTTCGAATGCGTTTTCATAATATGGCAGTCTGAACTTTTGCAAATTCATCGCGAAAATGATTACAATTTACAAATAACAAATTCGCAAAAGTTTTTCTTCTCTGACTTTTCTACCTTTCAGATCGTTTTTTGAAAACTCCAATGGCCTAATCGCAGGCTCTTTTAAAACTGATATCTCCTTGACTTCGCTGTGGGATACGAATCAGTTTCCGTTGAAGATCACGGTACGCGCACGACCGACAAACAGTGCCTGCAGGACTGCTGCGTACTGGTTTAACATTTGACTGGAAGATGTCGAAAGTTCTGATGTGTCGAACGCTTTATGTATCTCTGCGCGAGATCCCCGCCGTCCGCCCGTGGGCTCTTTCCCGTATCTACCTTCATCTCGCCTTCCGACACGCTGCTGTTGTCCCAGCGGAGCTCAGTAGAAATCTTGTGCGTCATGTTGGAGCGCGAGCATTTCTCAGCAGGTGCTCACCGTCCGTCAACTTTGCCTTGAACAGCAAAGGTGTGTTTTCAAGTTTCTATGTTGTTATTAATTTTTTGCCTTCTCCGATATTTTTTTTTATCATCTTCGCTCAGCTGTGCATGATGTGCGCTATGGGCGGTATTAATTGGGACTTGGAGTGATGGCATATCTCGTTTTACAGTGATGTTGAATTTTCAGTGCTGCATACAGCGTTTGCCGGACCCTCTGTTGACTGTCCATTCTTCCTGCGACACTTCGCGACATCCTCGTCCTTCCTGGCGGAGAACGATGCCAAACCCAAGCCTTCGCCGGTCCCACCGAAACCTCCCAGTTCCGAAAATAGTTCGGGACAGGAAAAGAAACAGGACAACGATGAGGATGATGACGGTGCGTGCGCGATCCATGCTGAACTGTTTACTGTGCTATGATAATCTGCGGGCTTTTCTAAATGAATATAAAAATGCGGCACTATTCGGTACTGCAGATTAGAATTTTGCGTGCTCTGCACTTAGCCACTGTAACGCTAATTCCTCCACAAACAGATATCTGGGAAATGGTAACGACACGGATTTAAAAATAATTTTTCCTAACAGAAATATATTGAAAGGTAAAAATTTTATCTTAGAAATTCAAGAACACAGAGGTAGAAAAACATTTTTTATCTTAGATGTTTTTCAGCCTGTAGAAACCGCAAATTACAGACCGTTCTATCCCATGCGTAATGTTTCCTTCTTATTTATATATATTTAAATTTTTTTACAATGTTTTTGTGGATTTATTTTTTAAAAGTTCATTGTTGCATCTAGATGAACCGCGGATGTCGATGGGAGCGCGCCTGCTGGCCTGGGCCGCCGTGGCGTACTGCACGGTAAGAAAATAATTACCTAATGCGCGATGAAATTGTCCAGAAAAAGTTGGTGGTACTCGTATACAAAATCACCGTGAATTACTGACGCGTTTACACTAATACAGTAAAATATGCTGCATGGATTAATTTTCGATGGTGCAGGTGGCAGTGTTAACGATGCTCATGCCGAATTCGGAGAGCGGTGAAGGGATGCGCTTCATTTCCTGGCATGAATTCGTCTACGAGATGCTGCAGAACGGCGAAGTCCAGCAGGTCAGTGTCTCATGGGATGGCATTCCTTAGAAAAGTCTATCGCGTGTGTTGAATTCTTGCATTGTGCACTAGCTGCATTTGTTGACTGTCAAATATTTTCAGTGCAGTATTGGTAAGGCCGTAAGGCTGTAATAATGTGATACGTAGTGCAGTGGCATGTGATGGCCGTCCAAAGTATGTAAAGATTAATTTCGTGCTGGAATACTTATGGGCTCGTGATGAATATGATAAGTAACTATTGTCGGTATTATTTTTTGACAATTTTGTTCAACAATAAGGGAACCGTATGCGTCTGCAGATCATAATCCGACCGGACGCTAGTGTCGCCACCATCCACCTGTTCGATGGTGCCATTATCAAAGGACGACGGGCAGGTTGGTAGTTCTACGCTCATTTGTCTTTACTAAAACGTGACGTTTAAACTTCTTTGGGCTCTTCTGTTTCTTGTTTTGGTTTGGCTAATATGCATCAGTTTTTCATATGTTTTATGGTATTTTCATTAATTTTCTTGATCTCTGGCTTTATATAGCGGCTTTTTTTAGACGTCGCTGGAGCATTTTTTTCCAGTTTCGTAGAATGTGGATAATGCTTCCAAAAGTGTGCTGTAGAATTTTCGTTTATGGCCTTTGCCTTTTGACCAATTGGGCGATTTTACTATAATTATTTTTTTGTTAAAAAGTTGAACTTAAAACTGCAGTAATTAAATGATATTTGTAATTTAGTTACCTTATGATTATTTTAATCTGTAATTTATTAGCGAATTTTTTAAATTTTTTATACCAAATTTATTTATTTTATTTTTATACTATTTTTTTTAATTTTATTTTTATTGATTTGTTTGGTTCAGAGCACCGCACGTACCATCTGATGCTACCGGATGTGGGGAAATTCGAGAACAAACTGCGCGAGACCGAGCAGGAGCTGGGCATCCGGCCCGGCTTCGAGGTGCCGGTGATTGTGGAGCGCGATCAGGAGATGGCCTGGTTATTGCTGCTGTCCTTGGTGGCCGCCTCCATCATGGTGCTGTGGATGTTCCGCAGCGGCACAGTAAGCACGGTGTGTGGGTCTTGCTTGGCTGTAACTGCCCGGGCGCGGGATTCCCTTTGGCTGTGTTCTCGCTTTATTAACGCTTATGACACCGTCTTCACTAGAGTTACAATTGCAAACGATTTAATAACATGCGAGAATACATACAATGGAAAAACTGTTGAAAATAGTGAGATATGTACCATTAACCTGTAAGAGGAGAATCCTCTTTACACACAGCAGCCGCCCATCCGCCGCCTACCTGGTTGGCTCAAGCTCAAGCACAAATATCTTGATCTTCGCCAACAGCGGCGATGGCACAGTGGCTGTGCTACGTGGATCTCACTCGGTAGCCAGCGGTTCGATTCCGCTCCATCGCCATTTTTCGGAATTTCCTCAACAGACAGGATCTTCATCTGACCGCCCTCCCTCGCTGAGATCATCACGGACAGCCGACTTATGGCTGCCTCTGTTATAAACCATTATTATTTTATTTAATTCCTTTGTTAATAAAAGAAGAGACTTTGAAAATTAGATTTGATTTTTCCACAACCTTTTTTTAAAATTTCATTTTAATTAAATTCCGATTTTTTAGCAGTGTAAAAATTGTTGAAAATTGTTGAAATAATAATAAATCAATGAGTATTATGATTTTATTCACACTCGTTTTTAAAAGAAAATCTGACGGGAAATTAATTTTTTTAAAATTCTGATGAATAATTGGTTTGATTTGATTATTTCCTTTAATTGGATTTCATTTCAAATCAGTTAAAAAACAATTAAAACTGTTTGAATTTCACACCCTAGTTTCCACGATGTCTTCTGTATAGATTAAGCCGCCGCAGTTGTCGGATATGTTCTCCGGAATGACCCGCGCTAAATTCACCCTCCTGGACCCGCTGACGTCGCGCGGCAAGGGCGTGACGTTCGCGCAGGTGGCCGGACTGCGCGAAGCCAAGCAGGAGGTGATGGAGCTGGTCAGTTATCTCAAAGACCAGAAAATCTACCGGGATCTGGGCGCCAAAATTCCCAAAGGTCAGTTGTCGCGGTTTTCTCTGGCGTAAACGGTGCTAGTGTGTGCAGGCTGGGGATTTGGTTGGCTGGTTGGGGTACTTAGAGTTTGCTGACGTTGCGGGATTCGTTTGAATTTCATCGTGTTGGCATCTTGTACGTTTTACCCGAAATTTTGGTCGCATCAATGCGCTTGCAGTAACAAGAAATAAGGAGTATAAATATTCCTAGATCAGCAGTTTCAGAGCCGTGTGATTGTGATTGGTATGAATGTTGTAGTGCAGTGGTAACCTTTATCATCCGTTTGACCTGTGTTTGTTTGCCTAGCTCAGCTCGTAAAACTTTCTTTGTATGTCTCATAAAACTTCTTTGTCTCATAAAACTATCTTTTCTTACTTTATAAAAAACAAAAATTTTTTATAATGTGGAAATTTTTGGCTGTTTTAATGTGACGCAGCAGTATAATGTTGTCTTGGTAGTGCCGTGCGTAGCAAAGTACTCTGAAAATGATATTGCACTACCTAGGCGTTCTCCTGTTGGGACCGCCCGGTTGCGGGAAGACCCTGCTGGCCAAAGCCATCGCCACCGAGGCCAGCGTGCCGTTCCTGTCGATGGCCGGCACGGAGTTCGTGGAGATGATCGGGGGACTGGGTGCCGCGCGGGTCCGCGATCTCTTCAAGGAAGCGCGCCGCCGCGCGCCCTGTATCATCTACATCGACGAGGTTCGTCTGTCTTGGGTGTTATTATTTTGTTCTTCTAATCTTTTCTAATTATTGATTACGTTTCTGTTAATTTAATGTGTTAAGTTTTGATTTGTGTATTTATTTCTTATTTTATTTTTACTAATTCGTTGGTTTTCTCTAGATTGACGCCATTGGCCGGAAGCGGAGCGGGGAAGGACGCGGCGGGAGCGGCGAAGAGGAGCAAACGCTGAACCAGCTGCTGGTGGAGATGGACGGCATGACGTCATCCGAGGGCGTCATGCTGCTGGCTTCCACCAACCGCCCGGATATACTGGATCGCGCTCTACAGCGACCGGGCCGCTTCGATCGGTAAAGCAATTTGGAACAATTTTATAGGCTTTCTTATTATTTATTTTATACTGATCTATGTATTTTGTTCCGTATTTTATTTTGAAGGCTGTTTATGTGGTTGTTTCTTTAGGCATATTACCATTGATCTGCCGACTGCACTGGATCGTGAAGAAATCTTTCAAGTTTACTTGAAACAGGTATGGTTCATTTATTTCCTTATTCTCGTACGATACTTATTTTCTTTTTCGCGTTCTTTATAACTGCTAATTCTTTTTCTTTATGCTTTGTCGTGTGTACAGTCAGTTAGATGATGCCAGTCTGTAATAAGTTTTTAATTAATAATCTTTTTGTCGATTATTGTACAGACTCGAATCTATTTTACCATAAATTTGCCCGATTTTTCCTGTATGTAAATGTTCGTGTGATACTCTTGTCCAGATCAAACTGAAGGGCAATGTGGAGAAGTTCGCGAAGCATTTTGCTAAAGTGACCGCCGGCATGACGGGAGCGGACATTGCCAACGGTAAACCGTGATGGCATTTGTAAAATTCACTGTTTTCAAGAACATTTGGTGTTGAATGCGCAGTTGTCAACGAATCCGCGATACATGCAGCCAGTCGCAGCAAAACCATGGTCGACCGGGAAGACATGGAGGCGGCGCTGGAGCGGGTGGTGGCCGGGACGGAGAAGCGCAGCAACGTCCTGTCGCCCCAGGAAAAACGGGTAGGAATCAGGAAATAATTGGATGGGGTTTTCATTGTTCTTGCGGGTTGTCGAACGGATTCATTGGGACGCTTTATCGTTCTGGCTTGGGTTTCGCTGAATTTTTCATGGTTTCGTGGTGCTTATACATATATTGCTGGGGAATGGTGATTTCCCATTTGTAGTTTTTTAGTTTGCTGTATTTATTGATTTTTCCATATGTAGTTATTTATTATTTTTGCTTTGTATTATTTATAATTTTAGTTATAATTTTAATTTTTATGATTACTTGGTTCTGAAGTGTGTCCGGTTGTCTTCTTCATTTATTTCTGTAATGTTGATTTTTTTGCCGCCTTGTACTGAAATTTGCCGTTTTCATCTGACCGGTGAATAATAATTTTTTATTCGATTTATTTTGATTTTTAGCACCAAAAATTTTGTGTGCCTTTTCTGCTGACGCTTTGCTAACTACATGTGATAATTGTCGCATTATATGCAGATTGTAGCGTATCATGAGGCCGGTCACGCCCTCGTCGGCTGGCTGCAGCAACGCACCGACGCCCTGCTGCGGCTGTCCATTCGCCCGCGCACGTCGACGGTGCTGGGATTCTCCTGGGATCAGGACAACGAGCGCAAGCTCTTCTCCAATGAAGATGTACGGGATTTTAGAGAAGATGACATCGAATATATTTTCACAGTTTTTTTTAAAATTTGATATATGAAGCAACGTTAATTCATAATTAATTCTTTCGTTTTTATACTGGCTTTTTGACCAGAAAATTCGGGATACTGTCTGACACATAATTCCATGAATCATTCTTTTTTAAATGAAAGGCAAATTTGGGTGTTTGTACTTGCAGTTTCTGGAAAAGATGGCGATGATTTTGGGCGGCCGAGCGGCTGAAGCGCTAATGTAAGTGACCCTCATCACCATGTACACGTAAAGCAACCTGTGAACACATCTATTATCACGAATGCTTCAACTTCATTCTTTAAACAGATTCAACAGCATAACGCAGGGTGCACAAAATGATCTGGAAAAGGTGCGTGCACACAGAAAACCAAGCCATCGTTGAATATTTGCGGTCATTTTATTCTCTAAAATTTTCACGCTTTCAGTGTACGAACCAGTTCTAAATCGTCTGCAGTTTATTTTATATTCACAACTTGTGTTGCTGCTTTAGCTGACAAATTTTATTGACGCTTTATATTGTATTTTATTATCTTTTTTAGTATTATACTTGTAGGCAGTATAATGAGGCAAAGTATTCGTTAATAAATTCGTAGAAATTGCATTGACGTATTGATCATGTTTTTTTTAAAAATGTTTCCTCATATAAAATACTGCTGCAACAGGTGTTTTCTGTTGGATAGGTGACGAAGATGGCGTACGCCCAGGTGCGCACCTACGGGATGAACGCCAACATCGGCCTGGTGTCCTTCCCGGAAGTGGACGGGGATGAGCAGGCCAAGTTCCTCACCAAGCCCTACAGCAAGCGGCTGGCCAAGATGATCGACGAAGAAGCCCGGAAGCTGGTGGCCACGGCCTACTTCCGCGCCCAGCAGATCCTCACCGACAATCAGGATAAACTGGTCAAGGTACAGGAAATAGTCGACGACATTGCGCCGCGCCGTTATGTGCACAACCAACGCGATCAGTACAAGCAGTAACTGCCACTAACTCGCATTATGTTACCGACTTGCAGTACTCTTACACCTTAACCGCTTAACGAGATGGTCTAATCGTTCAACAATTTAATACCGTATAAGCAGAGTGGAAAAAATCTTTGCTGTACTTTAGAATGTGACGAAAATTGTTGCCATTGTAAAATATGGCTATAACGTAGTGCAAAGGCTCCGGTAAGAAATGCGTAAGCAGCGCCTACTATTTTGAAGCCTCTCGTAAATGGTTGGTGAAAATGTTATTTAGACTTTTTTTGATGGACTATAGACTTCGAGAGTAGTGTCACCGCGAACGTCAGTATGCTAAGATAATAATAAAATTGTGTTGATTTGATTGTAATTATATTTAGTTCCCTTTTTGCTATAAAAAGCAGAATAAGGAGAAATTACAGCAAATAACAATAAAATAAAGTCCTTGAATTAAAAATAAAAAAAAATTATAAAATCAGTTAATACATTAAAAAAATTATATATATCATTAAAATAGTAAATACTCATGAAAACAGTAATCATATTATATAATTTAAAATTGGCATTAAGCACTGTTTCCGGTACAGGTGGCGGAGAATCTGCTGTTGAAGGAGCAGATGAACTACGAGGACATGGAGAAACTGATCGGACCGCCGCCGTTCGGCGCCAAAGCCATGATTTCCCCGTCGGACTGGGACAACTTCATCGCCGAGGACATCAAGGACATCAAAACCCCCACCGACCTCCCCACCGCCCAGGACGCCACACCGCCCTCAAAAGAAAACGGATCGGATGACAAAAACGAGAAAAAAGCGTAAATGGGGGAATTTTATTGTGTTTTTACCGTGTACAGTCGTCAAGTGCCTTTCTGCCGTTTGTCTTTCAATGTGGATTGGGAAACAACTGTATTAAAAACCCATCATCTTCATAAGCATTCACACTTCACAGAGTACTTCCGGTTGCATGAACTACTTCGTTTCACACTACTTTCCGGTTTGAATAGGCTAAACAAAAATTAGGCTGATATTGTGAGAAGGCTCCAGCAGAACGAACTTGTACATACAAGGTAATTTCCACAAACGCTTAAAATACAAAGGTTTTTTCATTACATCGAAAATGCCCAATGCACCTTACGGTGCATGTTCGATCATGGTACCGGTTAATCTAGAGATCCATATCGGGCTGCACGGAACAGACGGAATGATTATCTATGCTCGTAGACTTTTATCTCCATGTATACTTTATTATCTTTATTCGGCAATGGCCACTTCACAGAATAAAAAGCCAGCGCTGGTACACACTAAATAAAATGATAGAAATTTCAACGTTAAAAAAAAACAACCGTAATCCTTGCTGTACGACAAATTTTTCCCACGTATTCAGTGTTCCCAAAACTGCTGCTGCAGTTCCTCTAACAAATACCAGGCCCAGAGGCTGTTTAAAAAAAGCCGTGGCTCGGATTTCAATGTATTGTACTTTGTACATATTGTGCATAACCGTTTATAGTTATATTCCAGTAAATATTTATCTTTATAATCCTCGTAAATCGAAAGCCATTCCTGGCTACAGAATCCATGATATAACAATATAAAAAATCGTTACACGAGATCGAAGTATTCGTTCCTTATACAGTGCTATATAAATACAGATAATGAATATATACTCTCATCTGAATTATGGAGAATCTCCACTATAGACTTGTCCCTCGATAACGTAGAGTTTTGCCGTTAAATAGAGATACCAAAAAACCAACGCCGGTTGTCATTCGTTCTTCGACTCAAGGAGACATCCTGATTGCGTTGTCCTGCATGGCCCTCCGATCGCATGGCCAAGGACCATACAATCAGGAGGTCTTGTGGAAGGGCCAGATCGAATCAGCACTGGAAGTGGTGGCTTCGCTGTTCACTGTTTTGGGTGCGTCCACGTATCCGACTAAGGAGCCAGCGGATCACTCCGCTGAATTTATAGTCAAATATGTGGTCCTGAACCTGCTTAGCCGCATCCTTCCCAAATACAGACCGTTACGGACGCAGCTATGGCAGCTGCTGCATGCGCAGCAGTGCAAAATGTGGCGCAAAACCATCAGGCGCTTCTGTGCTGAAGCGGCACGCATAGAGAACGCGCTCAAGGAGACCGGTGCAATGCCAGCATTCAGCGCGACGACCAGCTGCTGCACAAGGCGCACCGGAAGGGCTAGACAGCCGTGTATCAAGCGGTTGCGGGCCGTACCTCACCGTCCTCGATACTGAAGAGCCGGAGGAGGAGCGCTGTCCGCAAAGGGTCAGCCAGACGCTCAAACCCACGTGTGCCACATACCGCGTCGCCAGAAGAAATGGCTGCCCTTCCATAAGCAGTAAAAACCACAAAAGACTCGGAATTCCGCATATGCCGTTAAAATTTACAAGTAAAGTGTCAGGCATCGGTACTTATGTTCTTGTTGTTAGAATGCCGGAAGCTGATAATAATTTATTATAAACTAGTTGTACCGTATGTACCGACTACTTTCTGTAGACTCTGTAACAAGTTTTCCGGTGCAGGTAAACCCTTGGCCACGTACGAGTCTGGTCAGCACACCGCATCGCGATCGTACAAACGAGTAGCAAAGGTCAATCAGGTCTCATGCATCTGACAAAAAGTCAGCTCATGCCAAAGGTTAACTTCATACGGATGCACAGATACTGATCGACCCGTAGGTCGTTCAGTACATGCCATAGGTCGGAAATAACTTGCAACTGATGTCGATGTTAACTATCCGTTGCTGGGAGGGTTTTCACAAATGCAATACAAAACGCAGCAGAACCGTCAAAAACGCCATTTTAAACCGTGCGCACGAGGCGTATTTTCGGAATTTATCTCTTAAGTTAATTTTTGATTAACAGAACAAAAACAACCAACATGCATTCACATTTCACACAACCGCCGGTTTCTTTCACCAAACAGAACCCCGAAAAAAACTTAAATGAATATTCTGAAAAGACGCGAATCATCACCCACCTTCAACAACAAACACTAAAAAAATAACAGGTAACAAATTAAAAGCGATTAATTTCTGGATTCCTTTCCTACGAGGCATTTTTTCCCACCACATGTAAAATAACAAAAACAAATTTCTCTTATCAAAAGTAAAATTATAAATTTTTCCTGAATGGACATTTTCACGGAGGGAAGTAAACTCCACGTTTTTCCTGCAGAAAACAAATCCTTGTATGTTTTTCAATCATAGCGAATCCGGCTTTTTCTCCGCTACGCAACGGCACCGCGACGACCTTGGCCATCTCCGTCTTTAATTTCTCCAATAACTCCCAATTCGGTTGCCCCAACTTCGCTTTGGTCTGCAGATCCGTGATGGTGCGCTGCACCTCCTTCTTCTTCTGCAGATGGCGCTGCTGCGCCGTCCCGTACATCTTCAGCACCTGTCCGTAGTACTGCAGCTCCGGGTGGATTTTCTTTAGTAATTTCTGCGCGCACAGATGCCGTGCCGCGTCGCGTTTCTGGCTGATGACGGCGATGGTCAGATCGCCGCAGGTCATGGTGTACTCGTTCTTCAGATGCCCGAGGCGTTTGGATTCGATACGGATGGGCTCGGAGCGGTGGGTGCGGCGCAGGGCGCGGGTGAGGATCTCGTACGGCGCCGGGATGCCGGCTTTGAAGGAAATCTCCCAGATGCGCGGGTCGTCGATGGCGATGTCGTGGAAGATGTCCTCTTCTTCCTCCCCGTCCGTAACTACAAGGAAATATCACATAATTATCAGGAAAAATGTTAGGAGAATAATTCTTGAATTTTCTATTTTCATATCTTATACTTTTTAGAATAATAGAATGATATTCATGTTTTATATTTTTTAGATTTTTGTAAAAATAATAATAAATATTGCTAATTCGAACGACTCCGTCCGACTACAACGCGTTTAATAATAATAATAATTAATTGAAAGTTTTATCATTTTTTATACAGGTATTTTTTATTTTTTATTGGTGCTAATTTTTTTAATAACTGCAAAACAACAACTATCACGGAGCATTCGCAAACAAAATTTGGGAAGATTTTCTGCAATACCCACCAAGAATGATATACACGAACATGGTAACGCGATGTAGGACAATGGCAAATACAATACACAATTTCCGCAGAAGTAATTAATTCCGGAAATACATTTTATTAATGTTCAACATTTTTATTACTTTATTTTAATATGGACCGCACCATCCCGTACAGATTCGCCAATGTTCTACACTACGCTGACAATCGGCTTATGGTTTTGTACCGTCTGCCAGTGTTAATACACGGCTCCGTGCTTCATATTACTCGTAAAAAAAATTCCTCGAAATATTGTATAATTTTTTATTAACTGTCTGTCCTTTCAAAAACACGACCCACCTCCGACGATGGCCCGCATCTCCGGCGCCATACTGAGCAGGGCCTCCTTGGCCGCGGCCATCTTGGCCTGCTTCTTACTGGCGCCCAGTCCGCGGCCCTCCTCCTTCCCGTCGATGGACACCACGGCCTGGTAAGGCGCATTGGAATCCGGCATTTCCAGGAATTCGTACAGCGGCTGCGTCTTCTTCATGTGCTGCACGAACTCGTGCAGGATGCTGACCACCGTCTTGTTCGTCGGGTTCAAGGTGAAGGTGATGGGCACGTTCTCATCCGGTCCCGGCCGCGTGATCGTCACCACTCTGGTCTTTTTCAACATGGTCGTCACCTAATATTTCGACAAACTAGTAACAATATTTAAATTAAGCATTAAATTTAAAAAATAACTACCGCATTTTAACGTGTTTTTCCAGGCTTTTTTCGTTGTACATTTCGAAGGAACTAAAGTAAAACTGGTTCATCAAATAAATTAGAAATAAAATATGGAAAAATTTTTATGAAAAACAATCAAAAAACGATCTACGAAATAACACCAAAATTAAAATATCAACTAAATAAAAATAACTACCACATTTTTACGTATTTTTCCAGATTTTTCTTTAAATTTTGGACCGCTAAAAGTAAAATCTTTGATTATTTGTAATTAATTAATAAATTGAGGGTAAAACAACACAAAAAATCTTTATGAATAACAAAAAAAACCAAAATTATTTTCGAAATAAATATTAGAAAAATTCCAATAATTATTGCATCCTCATGTATTGATTAACAAATTGAAGAAAAATCCTACAAAAATATTGAACTGGATTAGAAGCGAACGCCGCACCTCCGTGTCCGGTTTGTCCGGCTCGCCGGTCGTCTCGCTGTTGGAGGCTTTGAGCTTCTTGGCCAGACGCTGGCGCGCCCGCCCAATCTTCCAGTTTTTATAGCGGCGGATGGTCTTCATGCGGAATTCGAAGAGCGACTGGCAGTATGTGCGGAATTCATCCGGGGAGATGAGCGTCGTCTGGTAGTGCTCGTCGGCGGTCATAACGCGGGCGGTTACGGGCTCAGATGTGGACGGTGTCGGCTGCGATGCGTCACTGCCCGATACCGGCTCCTAATTACAAATCATAAAATTGTAGTAAATATTTCCAGAGCAGACAAGACGTCCTAGAGCTGATCAGGGGCTTTTTCAGAACTTCCTTTAAAAATAAATAATCACAAGAAAAATAAACAAATACATCCAATATAAAAAACTAGGATTTAAAAACTGAAACCATGCATGACAGCGACTATTAAAAGGCAAGTATCTTCAAACAACGGCAGCGCAACACACACATCACGTCGCACTGCGACCTGTGCCCGTACACTACGAAACTACGACAAAATAATGGCCCAGTTTGGACCGTCCATTAATTATTTTATTCAACAAACTGGAAAAAAAGAAAACAAATTTTCAAACAATTTGGTGGCTACTGCCAAATAAGAATATTTCCGATAAAACTGCTACTTTCATTGTGCGAGAATTTCCGATACAAAAATTAACGACACTGTGCCGTTATTAATTTAAAAAATAACATTAACAACAGTAATTATTCAATATTTGAATGAATTAATTCAAAAATAAAATAATATAATAAAGAAAAATAATACAGCATTTGAATAAATATTCAAAAAACTAAAATAATCGCAAGACACCTTTTACAGCCTACCTGCTTCACTGCCTCTTCAAACCTCCCTCCGTCACCACCACCGGCTTCTTGCTCCTTACACCGTTTATACTCCATACAGGGCACGGCGCTCAGCGGGATCTTATGCGTCCGCAACGACGCCTTCCCCAGCCCGTACGGCCGGCTCAAGGTACAGATCCGACTCTCGCGATGACAGTACACCGGCATGCCGCTCTCGTGCAGCACCTGCAGCCAGCCGTTGGGGCAGGAACTCGAACAAATGGTTCCGCTTCTCAATCATAATGAACTTGTTCTTCGTCTTGACCAGCGGCGTGCGCTCCCCACCGGGCACCGTATCCGGGTCCAGCTCGTCGAGGAGGGCGTCCACCTGGGAGGCGTCCATCTCGTCGCCGGAGGAGGCCGACTCCGAGGCCGAGGGGTACTCGTCCAGGTCGGGGTCGGTGGCGGCGAAGATGCGGTGCGGCGGGGTGGTGGCCGGGGAGGGGGCCGCGGAGGAGAGGGGCGAGCCGTAGAGGTCGTAGGGGGTGATTTCCGCGGGTTGGGAGGCGGGGTAGGGGTCGGGGTGGACGGGGAAGTGGAAGTTGAGCAGAGATTCCTGCCGACATAACATACACATGTACAACTAACTTCAAAAAACATCATAAATTTACCTACCGAAACATCATAAAACCAGAATACTAAAAATATTAAAACCAATACCGTTATTTCACGAATAAATATTCAGATCAAGTTGTACGATGTGCTCGCGTAGCAGCGCGTAGAGACATACAACGCAAAGCACGCAATCAAAAGCCATGGCACTGCGAAAGTACGACATACTGTATATGTGGCGCATTAAAATCTTGCTGGTCTATACTGAAGTGTGTTCCAGTTGAATAAAAAATCCAACTGAATTCCTCCTGAACATCTCTTTCGAGTTTCGACAAATTTTTGATAAATCCAAAATTATTGTAAGTTCAAGCGAAAATCTTAGAAACAAAATTTTTTCAAAAGAATCAAAGAAAAAACGAGCAGTAGTACCTCACATATCTGTGATTGTTTCCATATTTTATGTTTATTTTATTTTAGAATTCATCTTCAAAAACTTACATCATCGGGCCCACAAAATAATCTTTCTTCATTTTACTGATTTTCGAAAGTTACGAACATCCGGATAGAAAACTTCACCACTTAAATTATTTAATAATTTAATTGCAGTAATCATTAATTTATCACATTTAATCCACAAAACAATCCTCAAAATTTTTAAATTTGCATTTTGAATATAAACTACGAATGTGCTGCATTATACGAGTACATATAACATTTAATTTGTTTTACTTAATTTAAAACAAATTCAACTGATATAAAGAGACCACGCCACCGTCATCACGCACCTGACTGGCCATATCAAACAAATCATCAGCGAAATTCATCGCGCCAAACGACAAATCCCCCGGCGCCTGGTCACCTCCCAGGAACGACGGGAACTCCATCCCCTCGCCGTTATTCCCCATCGGCTGGTCGGCATAGGGATCCACCAGCACGGCCAGCGCCTCCGTCAACCGTCCCGGGGACATGGAGAGATCCCCGAGGTTCCCCATGGTCTCGGCGCCCTCCGCTTCCCCCACACCCTGCAACCCCGTCGGAGGGTCTCCGAGCAGCGTGCGTCTAGGACCACCTGTGGATGTCGGCGGAGCGGCGGGAGAACGTTTGGTCTCGGAGGACGAGGAGATGGCGCTGAGGTCGCTGTCGCTGTGGTCCGCTGCGTCAATCTCGCCGTCCTCGGGGCTGCCGCGTTTGCAGCGCTTGCGAGGGGGTGACGTGACGGCAGGACGGTGGTGGGAGGGGTCGGGATGGGAGCGGGAGTGGGAAGACCGGTTGGGATGAGGCTGCCACATGTTGGCGCGAATTCCGCGAAACTGTTCGCTGATGATCAAGCGGGCAGCGATAACGGTACTACCGTACCCCGAATTTGCGCATCAGAATCAAAACAGGAGTTTTCTGTGTTTCGAGAAAAAGATCACACGATCATTTCAACATCAACAATTTCTTATTGATCTTCATTCTTCTGCTATCCAAAATCCTGCTGCTATTCCAGTATTCCTATCCAAAATAAAAACAGAGAAAGACGAAGTTTGAAATTGAATTAGAGTAGAGCCAGTAGAATGACGAGCTGATGTGTCTGCGTTTTGGCTAATAGCACATAAGGTAACTTGCGTCGCGCGGGAGTTTGGCATGACGACAAAGCACTAACATGCCCACATGCTTTAGTCAATGGGATATCAAAGCTTCTACGTTTTGTGGAGTTTTCGATTTTGTCTTTGTACAATTTCTCCCCGTACGCCATTATTTCGGCGATTTTCGCGATTTATGTTTTTTTTCTCAGTTTTCCAGATCAGATTGGGAAGCGGCTCCGGTAGCGCAGTGGAACCAGATGCGCCCTATCATTTCCTTCGTGATCAGTTGTTTTACAGTTTTAGCGAAGTTTAACCTGTTTAACGTTGGATAGTGTCGATTTGCATCATCACAGCTTGATTCTCTCCGCATTGTCCGCGTTTTGACGATTTTTCGGGTAAATGTGGAACGGGGAATTTTTCTTATTGAGTGGACAGTGAGTCAGCCATGAGTGCCAGTGTTAATCTGGAGGAGTACGTGCGCCAGCAGCAAGAGCAAGGTACCCTTTTCGGAGCGTCTGCACACGGACAGCGCGCGCAGGCCTTCTTCTCCGGACTACCCTGGGTGCAGACGAGCAGTGCGTGGTGGAAGCAGGGCGGACTGTCCCGCTGGAAGGCACCCTGGCGCAACGATGAGAGCGTGGAGGCGGTGCAGGAGGCCGCGCAGAACGATCCCTGGATGCCTGCGCTGGTAAGCACGGAATCTCCAACAAACAAATTGAAAAAATTTCTTTTGAAACCAGTTTTGAGTTTTCTTCTGAAATATTATATTTGTATGGTGTGTAATAATTTCTCGTAATTAACAAAATTGTCATGGCATGTAAATCGTAGAACATTGTTTTGCCTGTGCCAGTGTGCCTCTATGTAATAGGGAATACCTCGTTATAACTGTAATTCGATAGAAATTGGTATTAATTTTATAATTTACAATAATTTCATTTCAGTATCGCTTGTTTACGTAGAGTGTGGAGATTTTGGCGAAAGCGTTATTAAAACCAACTACTTTCTACTTTTATACGATTATATTGTTAACCGTTTCGGCATTTCCCATGCCTTGGGCTTGATTAAGAAATTTTAAGGATTTCTTATTGAATTTCTTAGGTTTGTTTGGTGATCGTATAGGTATTCGTAACTATTTTGCTTTTATTCATAAATCACAATTCAGATGGTTACATGATGTACTAAGTTGTATTGCTTTATCTCGGTAAGACAGTAAGAGTATAATCGATGCTACGACGGTTAAACGAACAAACTTAAACAAACATTTAACTGAACGTACAAAAATTACTAGTAAACAAAATTTAAATTAAATTAAACAAAATTGTAATTCAGTAAATAAGTAATAAATTAAATAAATCTATAAATTCGGTAAATTTATCAGCTGATGAAGTAAGTAAGTAAATAGTAAAAGGTACGTAAATATTAATATTAATTTTTTGTCACATTTTGTGTAAGAAATTTTGATGTTATGTGGTTTCACCCGCTCGTATTTGATGCACAGTACCGAGTATGTACCTGCTCGTCCCGTGTCCGCTTCTTTCGCGAAGCATCTCCGGTCACCAGAACGAGCGGAGTATTAATGCCACATGAGTATTTTTATATGTGGACAGTTGGAGAATGCTAACCGCGCTTGTGATTACGTCCGAATGGAAATCATATTAAATGCCTTCCCGTCAAAATTCGTTTTCTTAGACGATGCAAATCGTCAGATTTGGCGGAGAAATGTGCGCCGAAGCTCAACGAGTGTTTCTACACAACTGTTATTTGTACAGTATCTGTATTCCCAGAAAAGAGGATATGTGCCGTACTCGCTCCGCCAGTTTTATTGATTTGCTGGTTTCGATTGCAGTATAAAGCCGCAGATTAATGATACAGAATTTCTTTACGGTATTTGAATTATGTCCTTTTGAATTTCTAACATTTAATTTTAAATTTCACCATGTTTTTTAAAGTTTGAATGAACTGCAACTATTGTAATTTGGCCGTGTTCTGCTGGTTATTGCCCGTCACAATATTTTGATTCTCGTTGCGGTTGTTCCAAAGTTTCTTGAAAATTAGAGTAGATCTCGAACCATACGCCTGTAGCGATCTAGTGAGCATGGATGACTCCGCCGTCCGCAATGCGCCGCATCCGTTGCATTTTATCCGTTCTCGTTCGTCTGGTGATTTGTCGACGTTTGATCCGGCCTTTGACGATGTAATGAGAAAGGTTGTGGAGAAGAACTCCTATGCCAAGCGTCTCAGGCCCCTTATTCGACAGCTGGTACTACTCTCCCTCGCCCGCAGTGTGCTTTTAGTTACCGCTTTGGCCGTCGAATGTATGCGCATACGATTCCCTTACGGTGTCCAGCGGGAAAACCAGGAACGTAAAAACCACGATAAGGTGAGCGCTTGGACGTTTTCCCATTCCGGGCCCTCTCTCAAATCAGATTTGTGTACCGGAGATACGCGTTAATTGTTACACATTAAAACACTTGATAATTTCTGCTAAATCTCGTTTACAAAGGCTCACCGACATTTCGTGGACTAGTAAGTCGTCGACCGCACTTCGTCGACCGTCACGAGGGCGACAGCCAAAAAACCTAAGAAAACTTGGAAACCTAAAAATCTAAAGAAACCTAAGAAAACCAGAAAATGTTGGTTCGACGTCGTGACGGGTAGACATTGTGTCTGTTCGACGAAGTGACGGTCGACGGAAGTTGACGTCGACGGACTTCCGTCCACGAAATGGCGGGTCACCGAGAAGGCTGTGCAAGTGTGTCCGGTGCGCGAATTCATACTGCGAAAATGTCTGGAGTACGGAAAAGGTCGAAGTACTTATGTGGTGTAGTGAAAGTGTGCTGGCTTGATCAGCGTAGGGCTCGTTTTCAGTCAGCCGGACGTCCATTTCTCCTGGAGCACCTTCCCATCGCTCTTGGATGTGGCTATGCATTCTCTCTTGCCGATTTGAGCATGGCGTTAACGTTGTGGAACAGTATGCGCAAGATGCGTGGGCAGTGGTTCCTGTCGGCAGAGAGACTGCAGGAAGGCACGTGGATGTCTGTCGGCTGCTATGAAAGCAACCTCCTGAAACTGCATCTGGATCTCTATGTCATCTGCACCATCCTGGCCATTACCGGTATGGCGGTCGTTATGGGAACGGTCCAGTTCTTTTATCCGCGCTATTTCTTGGCTCGCGGGCGGCATGTCATCTCTACACTGTGGCATAGTTATACCGTGGATGTGACGCAACACGAAATACTCCTGGCGACTTTCCCGTCGGTCGGTTTAGCCATGTGCGGCTTGATTACCGCGTGGAAGTGTCGCCTCTCGGTGCTGCCGTTGCGAGGACTTTACTGGGCCGAGCTGCAGGACTTGGAGGTTGGGCTGTCGGATGCGGTAGAATGGTTATACGAGAATGGGTGCTACGTGATCGGGGACCTCGTCCGGTGTTCGACCGTGTGGGTCGGGCACGTAATCTTTGTTCTGCTGCGCCGGAAAGAGGTCTTCTGTATTAACGACTAAAGACTTCCCGTTGTACTATACTACAGCGGATGAATGTTGTCTAAGCGGTTCAGCATGTGTGACTCCCTGTTCTGACCAGCTCACCATGCGCGTAGTATGACTGGACACATTTATCGGAAGCTGTCCATTCTATTTCTAAACTTGATTTTAATTTGGGTCTGCTTCCGTGCGTACGGGATGACGTCTAATAAATTAGGCCTGCGATCTGGCCGCACAGTGAAATGGGGTTTCTCTCGCTTCTGGTAACCGTAATCACAGCTGATTCGTGACCTTGCATCCTTTTCCAACCTGTACAGCGAAGCGCTTAGTAATCAATCGAGTTGAGATGCTTTAAGAGCATCGTATTTAGTATTTTGAGGTTTTTCGCATGCCGGGAACTTTCACAATATGGATTCGCGTGCCGACCGCCAGAGACACGGTAGTCTCCGCGTTGTTCACATAACGAACTTTTCGGAAATTGATTACCTGATAATTACGGTTTTTATATAACGAGATTAATAAAGGTTATCACGTTTTCTACTGTGTAATGATGCAGATTAAACGGAAATTTGTGGTTCCGGTGCGCGAATCCATAATGTCGAAGTGTCAAGCATGCGAACAACGTCGAAGCGCTGATTTGCGCTGAATGATTTTTAAATTCTTTTTATTGTGGTTTTCTGTTTACTATGTAATGACTTGATGTACAGTAGATTTTTATTTTATTCGTTTTTCTGTTTATTATAGTTGTGTGTCGTTATTCATGAAACAGATTTGCACTCAAAACACATCGCTGAAGGTTACGTCTAATGTTTCATGTTTTCCCAAATTAACATACCGGCAAGACAATCCATAGACCATACTGACATGCTATGCGGAAGTCGCACCGCGACAACCGCACTAGATGACCAAACCTACTCAGTCGGTAGAGTGGGAATATGCTCTGGACTCCGTAAGTGGTACTACTGCCTACTTCCGCTAGGTACGAGCGGATTGCTGTGCCTAACGAAAGTTACCGAAACCCAAACACTCAGGAACTTCCCAAATGTTTAATCACCAAACTGAACGAACGAACAAACAGAACAGAACAGAACGAGATATGAACTTCCTTCTAACCTAGAGTCACACGACCTTTCAGCTAGAAACAAGCTCACAGATTTAGTAGAAGTTAGAAACTTCAGACTGATTAGTTAAACCAGAATCGTGGATGCAATTAGCGATCCAAATGCGTTAGATAAGAACAGCACGTCGTACGTAACGGAACAGACAACACGTACGTCATAACACGTACGTAATACGCGCAAACTACGCATAGCGCGTTACCCCCACTGCTACAGAATTAACGTCCGCGTTAATCAAAGCAAACAAACAAACAGAACCAAAATCAAGAAACGCCAAAAATCCAGGAAAAGTACCGTGATCCTGGGAAATCTTTTTCATCATTCGCGTGTCAAATCCGGGGTGTAACGGGGGCTCGAATGGAGGTCCAGGTCCAGTTGGTGTTCCGTCCACGTCCTCCGAGGTTCCTGGTTCCAAGCGCGTCCGTTATCGTCATCCATCCAATTTTCGTATCCAGGTGAGACTTTCATCTATCCTCTCCCTCCGAAGAGCTCGAGGATCCAGAATCGAACAGGCCAAGCACACCAGAAATGTCAACCATTCTGATAACACTGGCCGCAGCAAATCAAAAAACACAGATCAGAACGGATAAATACCGTCCATCTATCAGCATCTTCGGCGCACCAAAAAGTGGATATTTAATTTCCACTAGTAACTGGCAATTACCCCCACTGCAAGTTTGCACTTGCAGTCAAACAATCAGACACAGTCAATCACAACCAGATTACAAGAACCGATACGATAGCATGGTTCTTCACAATGATCTAACAAAACATAACCAGTATCATTCAAGATTAATTTCCGGATGAACGATTCGAATCCTAACTGGATTATAAAACATCCAGTTATCAAAATCATACAGTAATCGTAATTACTACTCCAACTGCAAAATCAAAATGACTTTTAAAATCATTTTTACAGAAATCAAACACTGCACCGCAGCACAGCGCTTCGAACACGTAACTACCACACCGGCGGATACGGCACATAACACAGTACTCGATTGATAAGTACTTATTTTTCCCACACAACCAGTTTCTGTAACTTCCTGATATTTCAACAATCAGCATCCCCTTTTTGCTGATAAATCCTGCGGTTATGAGTAGAAGCAAGTTACACTGTCAGTACACCACTGGCAATAAAACAGAGGACTCACAACGTAGCAGTCAGAACTTCAGTCATAAGCAACACAATGCTCGCATTCCGTTTCCATCCTCCATAATTCAGCATTCATCCCAGGCCAGTAATAACTCCGTAAAACATACTTACGGACTGACCAGTAAACATGCAAATTACCAGCATGAAAACTTTCATAGCAGTCTCGTAACAAGTCTTGACGGCTAGCTTCCGGTACGACTACTCGGTGTCTACCGTACCTACCGCCCTTGCTACGGTACACAATTCCATGATAAACATGAAATCCTTCCATGTTCTCTCTTTCATCTCGACTCATCTCCGCCTCGGGATTCTCGATCAGATACTTCAAGCGCTTCACATAAGCACTGCCACTTTGCTTCCGACGCCAACCCACACGAGCCTGAGCACCCCCACTGCGAAGCGAGTGCCCCGTCGGACGGCGTATCGAGCTGAACTGTAACTGGGCGGCTCCGCCCCCACTGAAAGTTTCTTCCTTTCCGACAACTTGTGCATGTTTAACCTGCACAGTGAAAGAATTAACCTCCGGTCTTCGCATCAAGAACGATCCCAAACAGTTAGTTTCGGGATTCTTTCCCATCGACTTCTTCATCATGTAAGCTTTAATCACCTGATCTGGGGGTTCGGCCATGATAGGCTTCGGGGGTGCAGTATGGCGCCTAAAACAACTGTTGTGGTTTTTACAGTTATCCACACTCTGGATAAACTGCTCAACCTTATTCGTATCTGTCTTCCCGTCAAACTTCTCAGGATACATTGTGTCAGTCCTGAATGCGCCTTTCATTGCATCAGTAAACTTATCCATATCAAATGGTGCGGAAACAGTACTACCGCCCTTGGCCTCCTGTTCCTTTAAACGACGATCAAGTTCAGCAACCTTGGCTTCCATCTTGGCCAAAGCAATTGTGCTAACTTCAGAAATCGTTGGTGAGGGACTACGCGACTCACCCAAGCATTCCTGCATGTTATGAGCACGCTCACGCAAATCCAGAAATTCTTCCAGCTTCTGGTTATCTTTAACCACAAAGACGGGCTTATGAACAGCACTGTACAGCTTTCGTACAGGTTCAGCCATATCCTGTACTACTACGCTGCGTCGACCTGTTTCAACATCCGGAACAAAAGTGACGTCATCATCGACTGCATGGCGTCTATTATTCCGATCAACTTTCCACTTATCAACAGCAACATTAAATGCTGTTTGCTCAGCCAAAAAACTCGCATACTTTTTATTCAAGGCAGCTGTGCCTTCTTGAAAACTTTTCTGCGCCTTCGCCTTCTCTAACTGGAACTTCTGCTTTTCCAGTTGCAACTTTCCGCTTTCACTGTTAACATGCTCGAACGCGTCCTGCATCAACTTTGCGTCTCGCGTCCGCATAACAGTAAGCAACTTTACATCATCCGTCAACTTCTTTCGATGATCAACACTATCATCGTATTTTTCGACCAAATCGTTATACTTTAAAGCTAGTGCATGATATTGCACCCTTTCTGCATCCAACTCTTTACGTAACTGATCAACCACAGCCGCGGTTGATGACTCATCGCTTTCTTTGCCAAGCTTCTGACTGTAATGCAAATCAGCGCCCTTATGACGCTGATCAATAGCAGCCAGTTCCGTATCGCTATCTTCATTATCTCCAGTAACAACAGCTGAATAATCTGGAGCATTATTAATTTGCTCCAAAACCTTATTCATTTCTGTCAAATCCAAATGTTGAGTTACCGCGGTATCCTTCGCAGTACCACTCAAACCACTAGCTGACAGTGCATTGCCCTCAGTGACGGCAGCTTGCACACCGCTTTGCTGCACATCCGACCCTGGACGAGCTTTACTGCTATATGCTGCTGACTGAACAGGCTTTTTGTTGGCAAGATACTGCATCCATTTTTCATGCAGTTCAGTGCCATACTGCTGATCGTAATCATGCAGGGTCAGATGGATCGTTCTACGGGCGGGAATCTTCCTTCCTGCCTGAATCCACTGATCATAACCTCCTGGTTTTTTACCACCATTAAGGTCATATTCAACCCATTCTTGACTTAATTCTCCAGTACGTGGGAGAACAATTTCCCACTTCTTACAGAAATCACCAACCTTTTCGTCTTCAGGTAGAAACCACTGCACAGTAGGCGGGGATAAATAATCCGCCTTCTTTAACATGGCTTCAAACTCATCAACATTTATCATCCCTTTTCGACGGGACGGTTTACTTTTGCCAGTTGACGGCTCTTCTACACCGTCCTCCTGTCCAGCGGTTAATGCTGATGGTTCAATCACTGTACCATCCATTGCACCTGCTTGACAAACAACAGACAAGTAATCCAGGTCACCGAACCCGGATGTAAGTCTGCTACACGAATAACAGGGCTTACGCCACCACTTCGCAGTACAGTCAGTACTATTTACCAGTACGAGTACAGTATACGGACTCCCGTCCAGCACCTGGCTCGCACTTAGGAACCGTGCCTCGCGCAACCCTCTAAGGTCACTGCGGTACACACTGCGGTCTAGCACCTGGTTCTCACTTAGGAACCTTGCCTCACGGGATTCTCTGAGAATCCACGTGGTCAACCAACACAACCACACAAAACGCCAAAAACCAATACCACTTACCAGACGATCCAGATTCCCAGGGGTTGTTAAAATCCGTTGGGCGCCATGACATGCTATGCGGAAGTCGCACCGCGACAACCGCACTAGATGACCAAACCTACTCAGTCGGTAGAGTGGGAATATGCTCTGGACTCCGTAAGTGAACATACTGCCTACTTCCGCTAGGTACGAGCGGATTGCTGTGCCTAACGAAAGTTACCGAAACCCAAACACTCAGGAACTTCCCAAATGTTTAATCACCAAACTGAACGAACGAACAAACAGAACAGAACAGAACGAGATATGAACTTCCTTCTAACCTAGAGTCACACGACCTTTCAGCTAGAAACAAGCTCACAGATTTAGTAGAAGTTAGAAACTTCAGACTGATTAGTTAAACCAGAATCGTGGATGCAATTAGCGATCCAAATGCGTTAGATAAGAACAGCACGTCGTACGTAACGGAACAGACAACACGTACGTCATAACACGTACGTAATACGCGCAAACTACGCATAGCGCGTTAATACCGTACTTTAAAACGGTTTTGCTGATTAAAACTTGCTTATCGGACAGTAGTTACGATTTCTTCAGTGCGGCGTTGATGTGTGGCTGAAAAATTCTATGTAATCAGTTCTGTTAGCGTAGAACTGCTTAAATTACTGTATTTATCTTGTTATAAGAAAACCGATGTAAAAAGTTGTAGCAGCATATTCTGGATAACTACCCAGTGTTATCATTTTGCAGAGCCGCCAGCAGCGATTTTTGGGGGCGCTGGGATTTTTCATTGCCGGTGTGGCTTGCTTATTAATCGTACGTCGTCAACACGTCAGCTTGCGCATTTTCTGTCATTGTTTTATTTAGTGATTTCTTTTCGTTCTGGTTTTCTTGCAGGCTGGTCTCTACATCCCCGTATTAGCTTTACGAAGCCGGAAGTTCGCCATTCTTTTCACGTTTGGCTCCGTATTCATTATTGCCAGGTGTGCGTGCTGGTTTTGCACTTTTTCCACCTTCTCGCTTCCGGTTAGCATCCATTTTTCCGTATTATTGGTGTAGTTTGGCAGTCTTGCGCGGACCACAGCAACATCTACGATCCATGCTCAATGCCGACCGGCTGCCCTTTACGACGATCTACGTCGTCTCGGTTTTTGCCACGCTGTATGTTGCTTTATCGGTACGTTTTGGTGAACACTTGTGTTGTTGTGATCTAAGAAATTGCAGCTAAATCGATTTTTTATATACTTCAGTATACATATTTTGCTTTTGCAGATGCAGAGCTCTGTTTTAACTGTATTGTGCGGCGTCGTGCAAGTTTGCGCTTTACTGTGGTAAGGATGTTTTTTCTCGTAGACGACTACCGATAAAATAATATCTCGCTATTGGAAGTCAATATCTGCAGATAATTCTAAATTCATGCAATGTGTATCGCACTGAAAATAAACTTTTTATGTATGCCTGGTCTTCGGATTTTGCATTCATTAATTATTTTGGTATTCCTAATTTGTAATAGTTAGTTTT